CGCAGGAAAAACAGTTGCCATGAATGGGTGAACCTGGTCTGAAACTATGTTCAAGTAGCTTACAGATGTCAGGGACTGTTCTATGAGGATTATGGGTCCTAATGTGTCCCATGAAAACATTGTTCCTGGGCGAGAAACCATNGGTAAAATTTTGCCATACACTTTTGCCATATACGTAAGGCAAAATTATGCCATACATGTGTGGCAACAATTTGCCATAGAAAATGCCATTGGATATTCCTATGTGGTTTTGCCATACATGTATGGCAAAAATCTATGGCAAAATTTTGCCATAGGCAAAACCCCATAGGAATATCCTATGGCAATTTTTTATGGCAAGCCTATGGCAAATTTTCCTGAGGGATTTAAGTGGGCAAAATATTATATGATATTTAATGACGACCTTACAATACAGACTTTCTGTTAAGAAATACGTAATCTTAAAAATATATAAGCAGAATTTATTAATTTATGTATCATGAATATTAGTCAAGCATTTGAAAAAGCGACTTATGTTAATCCTCATTAAGAAACCAGAAGGAGTACAGCTACCTGTGCGAAAAATCCTATCAGTTTCAGAAGAAAAAAAAAGAGATAATAGTACTTACAAAGTTTATTCGTTTAACTATGCATGTTAAGTACACATATTAATGCACATCATTACAGATTTTTATTAATCAGATTTTACCTTAAGAGGGCAAAATTTGTGGTATCGAAATTACAACCTAGCTTAAGAAGGAGAGAAGTGCTTTAAGGTAGTAGTACGGTACATAGCTGGAAATCAGACAAAATTTAACTACTGAGGCTTCCTACTTATTGCATTTAATTATTGGAAAAGCCACCAACTAATTATGCATTTTTTTTTCTATCCGAAATTCTTCAAAGTACTCGAAGATGGCGTTTGAAGAAACCCCAAGAATAAAAAAAAACTGAAGAGAGGTAAAGAAGAAGGTGGGGCAACTAAATAAGAAATTACTTGATTCTGGTATTACTTAGCTAATCCAATTAACTTACTTACTATCTTTTAAGGGTGCTAAAAGTTAGAAACAAATGCGTACCAAATGTTAATTAACTATGGGTTTTCATGGATTTTCTAGATTAGAGGCTTTAAGATGGAATTTTCTTCTTTTCTTTCTTTTATTATTATTTTTTTTGGGATGGGTGAGTAATGGTGTAGGGAAGAATTTTTCTTTGGGTGCAGAAGTGGTCTGGTGTGAATGCTAAAAAGAATGTATTGATTAATGCAAAGTCATACTGGATCTTTAATTAAAAGAAGTCACGTTTCCGACTTTCCCCTGTCCAATTAATTCCAAGGTTCGTTCTTGATGTTTGTTTGATTAAAAGACAAATGAAGTTTCAAATGTTTGATCACATTGCACAGGAGGAGATCTAGAGGTTTATTTTGGTTTGATTTCTTTTGGTTTTGGAAAATATCGCATGGACTGAACTAGTTTGAATCTCAGAGGGCGCATTCACCTTATTGAGGGAAATATTTTTCCTCATACTTCGATATGAATTTGTTATTTAATTATAATTCTTCCTAGAGTCTAATATCGTATGTTTTTTACTTTATCTTTGGGTAATATATTAAAAACACTAAAAAAAAGTTTTTGACGTGATCACATTAAATTATATTGAACACGAATTGACAAAATCGAGAAGGATGATAAAGACACAGTGCTTGTTAGCTTTTACATTCTTTTATTTCCACAGACATACAGAGACGAACGATAAACAAAACATTAATAATAAGAAAAAGTCGTTTGGTTGCCTAGCAACCAGCTGGAGTTGCAGTTATTATATCGGCAGACGATTTAAAACAATTATTAAAACTAACTGTTTATTGATGACGGAACATCGCTGCCTCTTACTTGCGTTTATTTCATAACTACCTAGAGTCGAAACTATTTTTGGAAAAAAATATCATTCTACCAGTATGAAACATGAAAAAACGTCCAACTGCACTTATAATATCCGGTAATAATGATATCCAGTTATGAACCAGTTATCTGGTCATGAAATAACAGCTCACTGAACCGGTTATCCGGTTATGAAATAATGGCCCCATGTAATATGACACTGGAACCAGTACAATACCAATAATAGTATATACCGGCTTCGTTCCAGTATCATACTCGTTTCCAGTTGGTATAGAACCGGATCCAGTATCATACTCGAATCCAGTTGGCATAGTACCGGATCCAGTATCATACTCGAATCCAGTTGGTATAGTACCGGATCCAGTATCATACTCGAATCCAGTTGGTATAGTACCGGATCCAGTATCATACTCGAATCCAGTTGGTATAGTACCGGATCCAGTATCATACTCGAATCCAGTTGGTATAGTACCGGATCCAGTATCATACTCGAATCCAGTTGGTATAGTACCGGATCCAGTATCATACTCGAATCCAGTTGGTATAGTACCGGATCCAGTATCATACTCGAATCCAGTTGGTNCAGTAAGCATTCCACGCCTCTTGTTTTGAATGGCATGTCACAATTTCCGCAGTGTTTCACACAGTAACGGTAGACGTCTGTCACACGCTGGTTCCATTCACAGGCGGCAGAGTTCAACGACAGAGGTATGCAAAAGTGATCCCACGATGCGACAAGTGTCTCAATTCTGGTGGTGGCTATGTTGAAAAATAGCTGGAACATTGCTGTGTTGTTGTTTCTAACCCCCAAGAGGTCCATCCTAATTAGACCAATTCCATAAGTCCAAAAATGTCTAGAAAGTCTAAAAACAGATGAGGTTTAAAAAAAAAGAGCTGTACTTGTTGCCAATAAATATGCTCCTGAAAGTGTGAGCTCTTTTATTTAATAAATTAGGGAAATTTATTTTCTGGATGCGCTTCGTATTTAATCTTATTGAGGTTTACAATCTGTATTCCTTAGAGAATCTTTATTTTCAAGCACAGATGATTATTTTTGAAATCTAGGAAATCGTCCATTTCGTTTCGATTAACATATTAAAAAAGCTAACATTATTGTAGAATTTTAAAACAAAATTTACTGTGTTTTGTGGAAAATAATTGATGCTCATAGAAAATTCAATGATGAATGAGAAGTTAGGAGGTTGGCGAGCGGAATTAGCAGGGGACGAAGACTTCTAGTACAAAATACAAGTTATTTTTAAAATCAGTTTTAGGAGTTGTTTTTGTGAAAACATTAACTTTTCAAACAAATAAAAGTTTCTAAAACAATTTCACGTCACGCTTATTATTTTATTATTTATTCGATCAAAATTAGGAATCAGCTTGCATAAAATCTATTGTTCCCTCAAAGTATTTTTGTGAGAATCAATTTTCTAAGTTCGCTTTATGTGTTCAGTTTAAGCTTTTATTCACGCAATAGGACAATTTTTGCATTATTTATTATTTCAATATTGTATTGGTTTTTGCTTTGCAGATCATTTCATATTCAGTCTATTATTTATAGTTTATTATACTCTTCATGCAACACTTCATAACGAAATTGGACAATAGTTTGTATTATTTTTAAAATTAGAAATAAATGTAAAACATATAATTTTTCTAGACAATTTGGCTATTTTAACATTTAATATTTTTTATTAACAGTTTGATATATTTGCTGAAATTAGAAAATATTATAGAAGTTCTTATTTTGTATCTTCAGTTTTTGAAATTGGTATTCTAATATTCTGGTACTGGCTATTAATCGAACTTTAAACCAATTATTTTACGCCAACACAACGTAGGGAAAAATGCCAAACATGTATATATGATGTCGGCTTTTTTAGGAGCATAAATTCTTTTCCCTAAATTTTTGGAAGCCTAATCATTATAACTTTGAGTAATAACAATTTTAAAACAATCTATTTCTAGAGATTGTCTACGTAATAATTTTTTGCGCACTGAAATTCTAGTTTCTGAGAACTGTAATAAAATGTCAACTTCTCTAGGAGAGGGCATGCTTTTTCTGACTTTTGCCAGCTGCTGTTATTTATATAATTACAAACTTCGTGCTCTACGTATTTCTTTTACAAAACCTGTCGTACACTCATCATGAAAAAACAAATACTATGGTTGGGCAAAACTAATTTTGAAATGTAAGAAATAAAATAGGAGAGAATAAAATAGAAGAAAATGGTATGCTTTTTCTCTGGCTAAAAGTTTTTAATAAATAATTTGTTTTATAGTAAGATGTACCAAGAAGTTTCCTCGTAATTAACACTGAATCGGCTTAAATTACTGATCAGTGATTTGATCAGTAAATAACTTTACTGATTACTGATAAGTAAGTAACTTTATTCTTATAATTTTTTATATCTAGCAAAATATTTGCAGGATTTTTTACTAGAAACTTCTGAACGAAAAAAAATAAATATTTTTCAGAAAAGTCGTTTATTTGGCATATAATTACATAAATAACTTTAAAGTGCTAACTGTAATTATTATATTTTTCCAAGTTAATTATTTTACGAAATATGCTGCTTATCACACACTAAGGAAGAACATAATGGATATTTTAAATAGCTAAGATTAATTTTTAATGTACAGGATGCATATAAATAAGTCTCTAGTTTAGACGGGTAAAGATATTTTGTCATCTCTGTGGCAGATTTTTTTTTGTTTCTTTTTTTCTCTTTAATTTTTGCACTCAGCCAATCACAGACTGTTACTCGCTTATCATAGCTTTATAACTTACATTAACCAGATACATGAGTTCTCATTTCCCCTCTCGATATCGCGTGAAATACTTTAAACGGAAAGTAAGCAGAATGCTTCATACAGAAGTTTTGCAGTACTGACGCACGTCAACTTGCCGCGAAGTATAGTTTATCATTTAGCAAGCACGAACAGGACGATAATCTCCGAAATACACTTACAACAGTTGTAGCACAATTCATCACAACGTTGTTGTTACAGTGTCCTAAAAGTTTTTCATTTCGTTTTTAAATTAATTCAAATGTTGAAGGCTAGCATGGGCAGTTTTTTTAAAAAAACTACTTATTAGTATTTTTAAACGAGGAGTTTTAATTTAATGGCAAATTTTTCTATTTATTCATGAAATTCGGTAAGTTTTTATCTTTATGTGAAATGAATTTGTTTAAAAATCATGTAAAAATAAACGTCGGGAAATATTTGAGTTTTTAATTTTTATCTGTGGCTCAAAGCATAAACAATTTATAATAAATTTTTTTGAATGTGAAGATATTATTTTTGTCAGTTGTTCAAAGATCTAAATTGCAATTGATTTGAAACAACTAAATGAATAAATAAATAAAAATGAGGGAATTCTATAGTCCAAACAAGTTTTGTTTATTTTGAAGGGCTAGATGTGTTAAAGTAAGGAACTATAAATATTTATCATTGTAAAAAAGCAAAATTATTTTTTATTTACCATCCGAACCAGCTTCGTTTACAAAAATAATGGATTGCTGTAATCGGTAATAAGTCAACTATGTATAGTGCATCAAAAAAAAAGAAATAAGCGGTCCTTCCTGAATAACTTTTGATCTAATGCTCATATCTGCACATTCTAGGACTCATTCTTAACGGCTTGATGAGGTGACCTCAAATACCCTAATTAAGTAGTGTAGATATTTTAAGTTACGAAATCAGACCACAAAAACGAATTTTCTCTGATACTTTTTTTTCGACGGATTCGTACTTCTGACCCCCGAAATATAGGGAGTAGCCGCAATCTGGGAAATATGGTTCCCATAGTTTGATCATGAGAGCGGGTCAAAGTTTGGATCCCTTAATGTAAATTTTAATTTTTGCGTATTTCGCCATAACTCGAAAACTTTCTAAGCGAATGGAAAAATTTTGCCCAAAATTATAAAACTCGTTTAGCCAAAGATAATTCCATGCAGGAAATAATTTTCGTAAATATTTATTATTATTTTATATAATAATAGTCGAAAAAATTTTGACTAATAAGGAATAAATTATTTTTTACATAATTTTAAAGCATGTAATTTTACGTAACAAAATATCAAATTTGACCGAAATTGGTTGAATCGTTCCTGAGACATCAAATTTTAAAGATACTTTTTTTAATTTTAAAATTCGATTTCTCAGGAACTATTCAACCGATTTCGCTCAAATTTTGTATTTTCCCCTGCAAAATTACATTCTTTAAAGTGATGTAAAAATGTATATCTAGCATCTCAAAGTTTTTTCGTCTATTATTTAATAAAATAATAAAAAATAACAAATATTTACTAAAATGCATATTTTGCAAGGACTTATCTTTGAATAAACGAATTCTATAATTGTGTGCAAAAAGTTTTCCGTTCACATAAAAGGTTCTCGAGATATGGTGAAACATGCATAAAATAAAATTAACATTAAGGGGTTCAAACTTAGAACCTCTACGCTGATCAAATTATGAGGACTATATTTCCCAGATTGCGGCTGCCCTTATATTTTGGGGGTCAGAAATACGAATCCGTCTAAAAAAAAAGGAATGTTTATTCAGAGAAAGTACGTTCTTGCACCTGATTTAGTAACTTAAAATATCATCCGCACTAATTAGACTATTTGAGATTCCCCCTTCGATCCATTAAGAATGAGTCCCAGAACGTGAAAATCCGATCATTAGATCAAAATTAGATCATGAAATCAAAAATTATTCACGGCAATTCTTTTTTTTTGGCGCACTGAACGATAAAATTTATGAGAAAGCAGCAGAAGTCAAGTTTCAAGCAAAAAATCATTAAAAAAATAGTCAAAATGATCGTTAAGCTTTTAAATTATTAAGAAGTTAATTTTTAGCAATTGTAAAAGAGATTTACAATTTTATGTTTGCTGTATAAATTGCTTTATTTTCTCAGTACCTATCCGTTTCCGGGATTTTGAAAAAAAAATCATGAAATTAATATTGATGCCTGTAATGCTTAATTAAGTGGATTAATAGGTACTTATTATACTAATATAGGTGCGGTGGCAAATATATTTTTTTAACAGTAGCAGAATAGGATAAGTAACATTTCCTACATGTACTTAAATTTATTTGCATGGTTTCCCATCAGAATTAACTGTCCACAATTAAGCCCACCAGAATCAAATAAATAACTGACTGTTAAATTGCTAATTGACAGGAAGCTTGACAATTTCCGCAAAACTTCTTCTGGTACTTAGCAAACGGATAAGTACGGCTTGTAAATTTAATTAAACTTCCCCAGATATACACCGAAGAGCCATTACATTATGACCACCCTGATAATAATATGTAGGACCTCCTTTTGCCCTCCCCGCCGTGTCATTGATTCACAAGGTGCTGATAGGTAGTCTGAGGTATCTGGTACCAAGCGCTCACCCACTGGTCGTGCAATTCCCTCACATTGCGAGGGGGTAGCGTGGCAGCACGAATTTGGTTTTACAAGTAGGACCACAAATGCTCTATTGGATTAAGGTCAGGTGAATTTGGGGGCTAAGGCGTGACTTGAAAGTCACTGGAATGTTCCTCGAACCAATCCATGACGATTAGATCCTTATGACACGGTGCATTATCCTGTTGGTAAACACCATCCCCGCAGGAAAAACTGTTGCCATGAATGGGTGAACCTGGTCTGCAACTATGTTCAAGTGGCTTACAGACGTCAGGGATCGTTCTATGAGGATTATGGGTCCTAATGTGCCCCATGAAAATATTGTTCCTGGGCGAGCCCATTGTTACAGATGGAGGGTGGTCATAATGTAATGGCTCTTCGGTGTAAATAGCCTACACTGCATGATTAGAATCGTATTTGCTTCCAAAATGAAAAAAGTATTAAAATTATTAAAAAAATTATGGAGTAGATCCATTTTTATTTCATGTAATTACGAAAATTGACTTTTTAGTATGTGTATAGTTGTCACATAATAAAATTAGATATCTAGAATTAAAAAAAAGTCAGTCTTTTAGATCTTATGTCACCTTGAATATTAAATTTATAATTGCTTTTTTTTTTTATCTATTTTTGATGAAATATATGCATTTTAATTATGGAGTACCAAACTGTATGCTAATATAAAGCAGTTGTATAATTTAATTCGTGCTTATAGTATGGACATTTTCTTTTTGCATTTTTAATTCTGTAGGACTTGTCAAGATTTTTCGTGATGGCGCTGCTTATTTTTTAATAATATTTTAAGTAACTGTCATTCTAAACTGTATCTTTCGTTAAAATTTGTATGGAATTAATCAAAAATAAATAAATAAATAAATAAATAAACAAACAAATAAATAAATAAAAAAATAAATAAATAAATAAATAAATAAATAAAAATAAATAAATAAATAAAAATAAATAAACTTAAATAAATAAATGAAAAAAAAATAAATAAATAAAAATAAATAAATAAATAAAAATAAATAAAATTAAATGAATAAATGAAAATAAATAAATAAATGAAAATAAATAAATAAATAAATAAAATAAAATAAATAAAAGAAAATAAATAAATGAATAAATGAAGCGTAACATGTAACTGAAAAAAGTATTTTGATATGTATCCCTCTAATATTTCAATATATTTTTTGAAAAATTTGGCTTTAATTGTGAATGATACATAAATTAATATGAAATAATTTTATTTAAAAGGAAGACGCTTTTTACTGTTCACACTTGTAGTTTGAACAAGTCATAAAAATACTTTTTTATTCTAATGCTATTTATAAAATAACAAACAAAATAAAAATTGAGCTAAATTTAATTTAAAAATGCAGTGTCTTGAGACTCTCGAGTATAAAGCGTACGAATGTTTATTTTAATTAATCTTAAAACCTCTTAAATATTAACCTATGATAAACAACCGTATTATATTCCAGTTATATAAAAAACTGTCTCAAAGACGAGATACTCCATTAAAGGAATATTTTTGATATTTATTTCTTGAAAAAAATATTTTAAGTCTAATTTGGTTTTTATTTTAAAATCTAGTTTAACAAATCAATTTTAAATATCAGCTGTAAGGCAGAAGTATTAATAAAAATTTCTAACTCACATTTTGTAATCCCTGTATAAATAATAAATGCAGTTACTCCAGTGGCAATTTATATCTTTATTTAAGTCAAATTTTAAAATAGGTTAAAGCATAATTTTTCTAAATTTTCATTTCACAATCTTAAATTAAATTAGGAAATAAAATATTGAAAAAACTTTTAACAAACTATATAGTTAACAAAATTTGCAAATTTTCAGTTCACCAGGCTTGGAAAAAAAGCATTGGAATACTCAAAATATTAATAAATTACATGAAATTTATAAGACATTAACTGTTGATTGCAAAACCCAGACTTTGATTAATAGACTACATATTGGTCACACTCGTTTTACCCATATGCATTTACTGAAAGCTGAATCTACACCCAGCTGTACTCAATGTCGAGTCGATATTTTCATTAAACACACATTAACCGACTGCAGACGATTCAAATATTTGAGGAAGAAACTTTTTGGCAGATTTTATCCCAATCTTTCATCCCTACTTAGTGATCCTATACATCACAATCTCATCAAGTTCATCAAAACACAATATGACTGTATTCATTAATATAAATAAAAGTGCGATTCTTTTTCCTAGTGATTGGCACAGTATAGCCATTTCTGGTTCTTGTACCAATAAACTTTAACTAACCATCTAATATAATATGTAATCATCATCATCATAGTTGGCCAGACAGCCCAATGTGAGCCAATGCCTTCCTCTGAAGATTTCGCCACGACGACTTCCGATTTATCTTTGATCTCCAATTTTTTTCATTAATTGCAAGAAAATCAGACTCCACTGAGTGAGCCCATCTTAACCGCTGCCTTCCCCGCTTTCTTGTTCCAGTGGGTCTAAAAAACAGTATCTTTTTTATTGTGCTGTCGTCACTCATTCGAATCACGTGGGTGATCGAATTCATTCTATTTATTTTTATGTATTTAATAATACCAGGTTGCTTATAAATCTTGTACAGTTCAAAGTTAAATCTCCTTCTCCAGTTATTGTTTTCATTTACACCACCAAGTATACTCCGCAAAATCTTTCTCTCAAATATTGCGATACAATTTTCCTCCAGTTTTGTCATTGTACAAGCTTCAGAAGCGTGTGTCAAGACTGGCCGGACAAGAGTTTTGTAGATTAAGAACTTTGTTTTTCTAGAAAGAAACCTATATTTAATAAATATAATATGTAAAGCGATATTTAATTTATATATAAAATGGTTTAAACTTACAATTTTACAATCACAGAATGCTTAGCATTGATATGCCTTAAGTAGTTGTACAATTATGTGTCCACTTCAGTGTGGAGTCATTTGTTTATTTAAGCTTACAATCGATTCATTAAAAAAGGCAAAGTAAAATTAATTATAAATTATGCAATAAAAAGCATATTCATTCATAAGAAATCCATCATTGAGAACGAAAAATAAAAAAATTACTTTTTTAACGAACTGTTTCTTACGTAAAATTATATATCTGGAAAATTTGGAACTTCGAATTTTACCTATTTTCGAATTACCCGAATATAAAATTCTTCTCAACATTAAGAACAGAGAAAAGCATTAATAACTAACTGAAACAACTAGATCATAATAATCATTTGAATGCTCATTGAACTAATACTTCCAATAGTTTTCGAATGTTTCCTTCATGAATGTTTCCTTCGTGATCACATTGAGTTTCCAAACAGTGTGGCAAAACCTCACGTACAAGATACAAGACTCAGTATCAACATGTGATACAGAATAATATATCATCTAAACAATTCCTTCTTAGCCCTTAAAACGCGAATGCTATTTGAGTAAGCAAAGCCATCAATCTTGAAAATCTCATCATTAAGCTTCGTTGCATACATCAATGAAATGTTTCAATCAGGTGGTAGCCATGTTGAGAAGATATCTTTGTGCCTTCTCATCTGATATCTGTGCTCATTATCTCTAAGATAGATAATGAGCATGTGTAAGACTATTAGATAGAGTTTATTAAATGAGAATATTACTGTGAGGCTTTTATTGCAACCTCCTAATAAAGATAGTCTACTGGCAATGTTGATTTGATTAAAATGAGCTTTCTATTTCCTCCAAAAATTTGTATTGGCGTATTCGATGGGATGATTAAAAGTGAAAAATTGATAATGAACTTTTTATTTTGAAAAGTTTATTTCCCGGTGTTAGTTAAATTTACATATTATTATAAATAAAGATTTAAATTGTGATATTGGCTACAACCTTAATGAAGTGTTAAGTTAAACCTTGTTTCTTTTCAGATTGAAGCGATTATTCTTCATAAGTTTGAAGAACTTGAAATCATAATATCGTATAAATTTGCTAAAGCGTTAATAAAATGTTAATTTGAACATTGTTTCTGTTCACGTTTGAACTAACATTGTTTGAAATTTTGAAATCATAAAATCGTATAAATTTGTTGTAACTTTAAAAAGCAAGTTGAATCTTGCTTCTGTTTTAGTTAGAGTGAATGCTTTTAAATAACTTTTAGAGCACATTGAATCATATAATCGTACGCATTTCGTGAAACCTTAATAAAGTGATAATTTGAACCTTGTTTCAGTACAAGTTGGAACTGCTTAAAATTTTTGGAGCTCATTGAACCAGAATATCATATAAATTTTGAGCGATTTTTATGAAGTGAACCCTTTTTTTTGTTCAAGCTGAAAGGTGCACTGGTAAAAATCTTTTAAATACACACTGAAACATGATATCATGTAAATTTACTAAGTCAGACTGAATTATATTACCACGCAAGTCAATCTTACTTAAATTTGCTTATACCATATTATGGTCCAACTTGATTGAAAATATTATTCAGTGTAGCTCCTTATTGGTTGCAGCAAGTTTGCTTGATATTATGGTACCGTGAATTCATTTCATGAAAGTGTGGTATCATATATTCAAGTTTAAGGAGGATAAAAATTAGTACGATAATATCGTCTTGTACTTGACATGTTATTATAGTTACTGCATGACTGCTGTTAATTTAAAGTCATTTAGGTTTAGAGGCATGCAAGTAATGTATTATTGTTGATTATAACTAGTTATTGTAAAGGTTTTGTTACACATTTATGTATTTTTATTTTTCTTAGGATAAGTGGTCAACATGGAAATGATCAATGTTTTAACAATTCTTATCCTTCTAGTGGCTTTTATTTTGTACAGGAGATATCGACGTGAAATCAATTATGAGTAAGTATTTAAATATATATTTTTTTCCTTCAGTTTTCGAAGTTTCATGAAGTCAGCGATTCGTTTTATGAATCAGCTCAATATGTATTTCATAAATCTTAAGGGAAAAATAGGTTAAATGTCATAATTTAAACTGATGTAACATTTTGTATACTTTACACTTCAAAAGTTTTTTTGATCGTAATTAACAAAAAATAATTTAAAAACTATCTTTAAGCAGTATATCTGGATAAACGAGTTTTATTAAAGTTTTATAATAGGCTTTAATGGTTTAAGAAATATTACGAAGTAAACGAAAAGGATAATAAACATTTCTATCACTTTTTTGATAAAGCTATTGAGATCATATTTTTCAAATTGTCATTTTCATTTTTCAGAAAAAGTGTGTTTTGTAAGTATTTTTAAAATTTAAAATATCATTTCCATTTATTAGGTTTTTAAAGTTTACCTCATGAATTATTAAGAATCCATATTTATGCTTGAAAACCCAGTCATTAGATCATAAATAACTTTAATAAAATGTTACAGCCATTTTTTCAAAATATTTTTATCACAACTAAACGTAGTAGGAAAAAATATTGCTTTATATTGAAATTATCAAACTATAATTTAAAAATATATTAAGAGTTTCGTACAAGGTTAATATTTTGACAGTTGGTGTTTGTCATGCCAAAATCATGGCAACAGTGTTATCTGAAAATTTTAGTATGGAAGCTATTCAAACAAAACTTTCAAATCATATGTATTTGTTAGAAATTTGTTGGGTGTCCGATGCATCACATTAGTAATTAAAATGGGTAGTCCAGTGGTTAGAGAAACGGTCTCCTGTCTGGATGGGCTGGGGTTCAATCCTCGACTCCACTAAGAGACACGCTATATATGAGCTCGTAAAATCTCTGGAATCGAAAGTCCTTTGGTCGGTAGCTGAGCAGTACCAAGAATACAGTAGAATTTAATTCACAGGGTACATGGGTCTCTGGAAAAAAAATTTCCTTTCCCTTCAGATCCCTGTCTAAATTGAGGAAATGGCATCACAAATGAAAGATGCTGCCATCTATCCGGGAGTTCTGAGCTAAAACGTACTTTCATTTTCGCAGCGCTCTCTTTGTCAAACGTAAGGCTCACCTTCCTGACTAAATTCTCAAAAGGCCAATGGTTGGCGAACTTGGCTCTCCTTAGTGTTATTAGAAATGACGATTCCGGATGTTAAAATGGACCATACTAACATTTAATTATTTTTTGTCAAGAAACATTGTATCAAGATGACTTCTAATAAATTTTTTAAGAAACGAAAATACATGTTTAATGGTTCATATAACAAGTATCTACATCCAGTGATAATTTTGAAATAGCAAAAAGTAATTTTTTCTCTCAGAAACACTGAGCAAAATAGCAGATCTTTCACCTGATGATTCCAATATTTAAATATCGATAGATTTTTGATACTTATTTTACAGGATTCAGGAGAGTTTGATTGAAGTTGACAGAGAAGCACACGGAAATCGGAAAGACCATCCATCCTGGTCTCAGTGAGTAGTTAAAAATGTTATGTTTTAAGTATTGCATAGTTTAGTCCAACTGAGAAGTATATACAAGATAATAAGAACTTTCATGACCTCGTGAAGCAGAAGAGCAGTTGAGAGAGGTAGTAAAATAAAGTTTTAAACCCGGATAAAACCTCATTACCACCGTTTATAATTATTTTTAAATATGTGATGGCTTGTTGTAATTGCTAAGAATTGTTTGAGGTGTAGTGATTTTACTAAGTGGCTGATTGATAGAGACAACCGTAGATTTCATGAAACAGTAAAATAGATGATCTTATTCGAAAGCCTTGTTTTTATGACTCAACTGGACGTTAAAAATTTTTATTCGCTAATATTTTACGGAGGAGTCTTGTTGAGTATGCAACAGAGCATTTGAATCATAGAAATGTTTTTGATGTCACTGGCCCTGTGATGGATTTGGTATAGAAGTAGCATAAAATTATACAATTTAATGATGAAAACTAAATCCTCTTAACTAAGCAGGAAGTTAAATATTAATTTTGCTTATTTAGTTTAAAGAAACCTGACCAAAATGTGGGCACTAGACTATATAGGGACTAGACTATATTCATAATTTTGAATGCAGATGGTGGTACATACGTTTAAGAGAAGGACTCATAAAAGTCTTCCATTTTTGTAATTCAATACAATGTAGCAAATAAAAGAACCGATATTACAAGTATCAAAAATTGTGCTTATCAATATGAAAAGCATGTTCTTTTTATTTAAATAGATCCTTTGATAATTAATCCTTATTAAGAGAATTAAAATCAATTCCTTATCTTTCAAAAAGTCATGACATGAATTTGTCCATGATCGAAGACCATTTTCACAGTGAAGTGAAAATGCTTGTCAGAACTTTTAAAAATAAAAGTTAGTAAGGCTGACAAAAGCAAGAAATTGAATGAAATGATTGTCATCTGGTGGTTGTATTCTCCCCCTCTTAATTATTCTTTTAAAGTAGTTAAATGTTCTTACGGTGAAAATAATTTTTAGGAGAAGTGCATTGACTTTGCCTTCAGGATCAGTGAGCTTCCCAGCATTAGAAATGGAAAACTTGGAGCTGCCACAACCTTTAATGTAAGTTCAGGATAATATTTGTTACCTTCTAAAATATATTAAATATTTGCGTAAAAAGTCTTGTTTGTAATCTCACCATGACTCAATTTCTTTCGTGCGAAGATACCTAGCACTTTTTTTTGGAAGAAATTTAAACTTTTCATGCAATTTATCCCAGGTATTTACATGAGAGAATGATTATTGGAGTTTTATTACATGAGAAAATGTAATCAAATGATGGCCAAACAATATGTATGCCTATCAGAGTAATGTTAACACTTGAAGAGGGACATCACAGTCCCAGCTTGTAGAAAAAAAAACTCTAGTGGTCTAAAGCGTTTTTTTTGTTATGTATAACTAGAATGAAACAAATATTGACATTTTGACTATAAAGTCGGTGAACAGATTACTTTGCTACGCCGCAAAATGCAGAAAAAACACGTTTTATGTATTGCAATTAACATTTAAAGTCCCCAATCTGATCTACAGACAGAGATGGAATGGGATAACTTCAAGCAACGTAATGTGGGTATTTGCTCTTGATTAGAACTGTTCTTTCCATTCTATTTTAAGTAAGGCAAGACCGTAATGTATCAATTCTCTTAAGTGACAGATTCTATATGTTTCAAATATTCTTTGACAAAGATTTCAATTATCCTACTATAGATTACTTACTTAGCAAAAAGACAGGAACAGGTAGAGCATAAGCAAACTAATAATGAATTGAAGTTACTAGGTACACAAGACAAAAATACATCATGGTTACAATAAAATACATAAACAAATACTAAATCTAAGTTAAAGATGCAGACGAGAAGGAATTATATTTTAATGTATTCCATGCGCGATACGGCGTTGTATTTAATTAACTCCCCGTTAATTAACATTTTAACTTATGCGGTGAAATTTAGCTGGACTTTAACACACCATCTTGTTTATAAGCGATCAGCTGGCGCTGAGGTCATAGGTCACGTGTTTGTGTATCTGTGATCGTCTTCTTCTCGAGCTGCAAGTACCTAGTTGGTGGCAATGAAACAAAATAAGTGAGCTGTTTTTCTCCATTGCTGATAAAATATTATCAAATACTACTACTAATAATTAAACTGCTAAAATATTAGCTATTTTTTGTTTTAAAGTTTTTTGAAAATGCAATGTTTTATTAGAATCTAGTAAGCGATGTTTAAATTGTTTTTTGTTATTAATTTCAAACTATGATTTTCAGAAAGTAAGTTTAATGTAAAATATGCTACGTAAAGAAATTTTGGAGCGTTTTGAACCTTGATATCATTCAAATTTAATTTGGTGCTGTGTTGAACTATAATAACATGCTTCTGAGACATTGATTGCACGATTCCACGCTTAAATTTGGACAGAAATATGGTTCAATTTTGCACTTTTTTAGGTTGCAAGAAGTTTGAACCTTATTGCATTTAAACGTTCTGATAATTGTTAAACGAGCTGATTTTTCCGAGAGTGAGTAGTATTAAATAATATTTGGTCACAAACTAAGGGATTGTGAAAAGTTACGGGAAGTTAAGGTGGGGAATCCGAAAGTGTATTTACAAAGTTTCTCACATTTCCCAGTTTCCTTACAATTATTCTGAAACATTGAAACAATTTCCGTTTTTTTTTGTTGTATAAAACATCAAAATTGTTATTTAAAAATGGTAGTCACTTAATGCAACAAGTAAGGTTTCTATGTAATGGTGGTAAATTTACGTAAATGATAGTAGAAATTTACGTTGTTAAGATATAAACTTTAATGCTTATATAGGTCTGGTATAAGATATAGAATTCATATCGATATATTTTCTTAACAAAGAAACATTCAGTGGAGATTGCATATGCTAAATTATCATGGTTTATATTTTTTTCCATACTATCCTTAAGTTTTCTAAGCCGAATGGTAGCCTTGTCGACTAGCTTTGTCATCCTTGTGAACTTGACGCTATGCCTCATTTCACGCTACAGCTGATTGGTTACATGGCATTTCACTTAATAATAAATAAAATCCACGTAAAAGCAAATAACTGTATTCTTAACTTACAATTTTGAGCGTCTATACTTTTCTTAAAATCTAGTCACAGAATTATTCTATTTTATATAGGCAAAAACATTCTGAAGATGCTTTATGGGGAAATATAAATTCTCAAGGAACCAGTTCTGACCAACCATTGGATTTATCTATCAATCAGTAAGATTTTAAAACGGAACATAATTTAAATTTAAGCAGATACGTAAATTAAGAATTGTCTAATTAAGTAAAACTTGATTTTAATTAATAGCATTTAGTTTTTAATCAGAATAAAATTTTCATTTAAAAGTTGTATGTTAAATTTTTAAAATTTATCACCTTGTTCTTCTGTTTTGTTGAACTAAATGATTGAAAAGGCACAGTTAAAAAATATTATAGAGCCCGTGGTCTAATGAGCTGGACTCATGGATCTGGCATTTAATAAATATTTAAAGTTTTTCAGATCTAAACTGCTGCCAATTTTTGAAAGTTAAAAATCTAAATTTGTCGAAAAAATGTAAGCCAATATTCAGAGAAGTATGCTTCGTATAACATTTTCTAACTTAAAATATTGTTTGCACAAATAAATCAATTAAGGTTAGGCCCCTCCAGCGGAGAACTGACTGGTTTCAGAAAATAAAAACTTGTGGGAACAAAGCGTGAATGAAATAAATGTCTATTGTGAATGCTGTAAAAATATTAAACTGAAATTTTGGAATTCAGTTACAAAAGTTGCCAGCAGAGGGAACTATACGCTGTACAGAAATCTTAAAAATAATACAAATGCCGTAGAAATATGATTAAAATTGTTATAATTTAGTACCAGAAAAACAAGATGTTCCATAGAATGCATGTTTAAAAATCATGATACGATGCAAAAAGCTTCTTTCATGTTTTAATACAAACATTGAACGGTTTTATCATCGAAATCTTAAAGCGCCATCTTTTGGAAACTTTTGCAATTAAATTCTACAGTTTATGTATAAAATTTTTATAGTTATCATAATTAACACACCTTTAAGCATTACCAAGGTTATTTGTATAATTTTCTGATCTTTACCTAATAACACTTTTTTATTGTTAAATTTGATAAATATTCTAAAATTAAAACTAACATATTTTTGAATTTTTGCATATAAGGCTGTATCAATATACTAGAAACGATCGACACAAAAGCAATTTTGCTTCTTATAGGTTTGTAACTCTAACTCCTGATCTGAAAACAATAACTGATGCTGTCTGATAACCTTTGACATTTGTTCCGGTTATATCTGAAACAAAATCAGTGCATGAAATGAGTTTATTTACTTTAAAATATAAAATATGATTTATCACGTTCAATAATTAATATCTTTCAATTTAGCTCTAAAGCTAAGCTCTCAAGAGAATTTGGAACCTAAAATTATAATATTTTAAAAAGTTTGAGATGCTCTTTATGGATCTTTACTTCTCTTTTATAATAATAAAATCAATGGAAACATTTAAAGCGGTTAAGAGAGTTTGAAACAAATATTGTTTTATTTAAAAATAGTTGTATTGCATTGAATAATTTGAGGTACAGAATATCAAAATCTAGTTTGCTGATACAAAGCTGTAAATGTTGTTTAAAATCTAATCTTAATATGCCTTAGAACATCGTTCGTGCAAAATAAATGATTGCCAATTTTTTTCTCTACAAGATGACATCCGAAACACACAGAGAAAACAACGTTCTGTACAATCTTAAAATGTCAGTTAAGTTAAATGCTAAAACCAAGTTTTTATCCTATTCCTTTGTTGCCAAGGCAACTAGAACACCTTTCTTTATGTGGAGATTTTATGTATAATAAAAAGCTACGAACAACCATTACGCTTTTTTCAAAATGTTTTACAGAGTGGTAGATAATTAAAAGTGTTTGACAATCTTACCAACATTTTAAAGGCCCCACTACGAAAGGAGATGGAAGAAAAGGGCGTTTCATATGATTTTGATTCATTTACATGTAATGGCGTTGAAAAAAATCTTTAAATCAAATTTACTGAGCAGTGGTAGCTCATGAAATAGATCATTCGCCTCCCAAAGAAGTGATCCGAGTTCGAATCCCAGCGATGGCTGATCGATACGAATTCCAAACCTGCTTGCACCTATCCCTGTGTTGACGTAAAATACCCTCATTGGTTTATTGTTTAAGCGTTAATCCCCTTACCGTCAGTATTCACTTTCGCAAACATTTTACTTACTTCATTTATTTTATACCGGAATCGTAATTTTTTATCAGATTTTGTTCATACCTTTTTATCTGATTTTATTCATACCTTTTATTTGATTCTATTCACCAACTTATACCATTTTATCCGTTATAATTGTACAACACTTAAAGTGTTGCATGAACTTTGTCTTTTGAACTGTTTTACCTGTATTGTTTGGCGCAGCGTGTGCTCGTTTGGACTTTGTGCCACTAAACCCTACATTCGATCCAATCGAATTTCCTTACCGTTAGGCTAACCGTGGGCGGTTTCCGTGGCTTTCTTCTCCATGTAACGCAAATGCGTGTTAGTTCCATCCAAAAGTCCCTAAATGAAGGCAAAATTCTCCCAAAACTTGATCCAGGAGTTCGCTTGCCTTTCGGATTGGGTTGAAAATTACAAGGCTACGTAGTTGAGCTTTGGTAGAGGTGAACACGAAATTGGGTCAGCTGTTCAAGGACGGTTTTAAAATCAAATTTACAAAACGAATCATACATTAGGACATAAAGTTAGCTACTTTGGAAGAAATATTCCCCAAAAAGCGTAGAAAGGGAGCATCTTTTTATAATGTAACGTAAACGAGTAGTTTTTTTTAAATATTTTTTTTGGTTAGTAGCGTCCCTGGGTCACTACAGTTGAGATGTTCTGCCATGTTAAATTTATGTAAGAGGTAAGCACGCATTCAAATGGTTATAGTCAAGTTTAGCCTAGGATGTACTTAACAAAAGTTCTTCTTTAGTTTTTCTCCTTCACCGCCATGCATTTTTAAAGATTTTTCATAATATAAATATAAGCTCTTGTTCTTTCAGGTAAATTCTTCGTAAATAGTACCATTCTTATCTATAGAATCGGTATTTGTTTGCTATTTCTCTCTTTAAATATAATACAAGCAATATTAATGTGAGCTATTTTATAGCCATGGAACGTAACATATTACATTTTATACAATGCTGAAAGATTAGCTTTATCGTGACTGCAAGTACTATTTTGAAATAGGTTTTGAATAGGTTATTTTGAAATAGATTTTAAGCTATTATAGATTGCTAGGTGCTGCTTTAAAAAGCAACTAAAATTACTGAAATTAACAACGAAAAACTTTTTGCTGGATGGGGAACTATTGGGAATGGTGTTAAATGGCATAGAGAGTGTTCCATTACTTAAAAATATTTTTAGAAACCTTATCGAAAGTTGGAAGAAACAATTATACACATTAGATGTTGCAAATTAATACTCAAAAAAGTAAAAAAGAAGAACATTACCGAAATTTAGCGAATCACTTCTGCGAAAGTCTTGATTAAAAACATCAAAATATTTTTGGGAGACAGAAGAAACAGAAAAGAGTTTAATAGAGCTTTTAAAACAAAGCTCCAACTTTCTTCATGCAATCAAACAAGTTTTGATATTTTCTGTGATGCCATCATCACATGAGATTCATTATATTTTTATAGTATTTTTTCCTACCTTGCATATACATTTACGTCATCATGCTTTCTATTCATTATGCCTTCCTTTATTTATTTACTAGTGAAATAGATGGATTTCGATTACGTTTTGTTTTGTGCTCTATTAAATATGAATTTGCAATCTCTATTGTGAATAACATATTTTCTTCTGATTTTAGACATATAAAAATAAATATTCTATTCCGAACACCCTGTATTCACAAAAGAAAGAATATGAAATGTTTAATAAGGAATGACAGTACCGTTAAATTTTTAAAAACATAACCTGGGGAGCATATTCTCGAGACTTATAGGAAAAATATCCCTATATTTCTATAAGGTATTCTGTACTCTTCTTTGAAGTCAAAACTTATAAGAATAACGAAAGTCACAGTAATGTGCCTGGAATTACCAAGCTTGTTGTTTTACTTCCATATAACAAGTTTAATTGTAAAAGTTAATCATTATAAATTTGCCATAGTTGTTTAAAAATGTCTCACTTTTTTTGGACTCATAATTTTTAAGCATTCTTTCTATTATTAGCGAAACTCTTTCTCAAATTCCAAGGTCTACAGTCACAAACTGTGTCGTGGGGGAAGGAAATGTTTTCCCACCATTCAAAAATTCTGCTGTTGGAGAAGGAAACATCTTTTCTCCGTTCATAAATCCTGCTGTCGGAGAAGGAAATATCCTAAATCAAATGACATATTCAGTTGGAGAAAGAAATGTCTTCTCCCCATCCGTAAATCCTGCTGTCGGAGAAGGAAATGTCCTCAATCAAGTGGCATATTCAGTTGGTGAAAGAAATGTCTTCTCTCCATTCGCTACTCCTGTTGTCGTAGAAGAAAATGTTCTTCCTCAATTCACATATTCTGTTGTCGGAGAAAGAAATGTCCAACCTCCAGTCATGAATTCTGTTGCCGAAGAAGGAAGAGACTTGGGACAAATGGACTTAACTTGTGCTAGGTGCTAATATTAGTATTTCTTTTAAAGAATTATTTTTTAATTTTGTTCTTTTTTACTAAATCAGTTTTAAGAAATATCTCATGAGGGATTCTATGAGAATAGATTAAATTCATAGATAAATTAATGAAATTCGATTTACATATTCAGGTTTATGTAAATTATGTATTGCCAGGTTATGTACCGCATTGGGTTTTTCTACCTTAGACTATGGTGCTGACTCAAAAATGCAGATATTGATCTGGATTGCATAAAGAAAGTGTTATATGTTTGGTGATATTTCAGGGGAATATCAATTAAATTATTATAACTAACTACTTTAATCTACTGAACCTTGAAATGTGAGCTAAATTTGGTCCATTTTTCAGCAGCGTAAAGAACAGATTTCATCTGTCCATGTACTTTTACGACCGTCACTACAAAAACTTTATAAGGGGTGTTTAGAAGTCATTAAATAAAAAAAAATCATACTGATTTGATTTAGTTTCAGAACTAACTGATGCTGAGTAGTAAATTAGAAGTAATTAATTAAATTATAATTAACTTTAAAGCACTTCCGCGACAGCCCGTTGTGGGCAAGGGGATTAGGGAAGTTAAGGCTTCCTAGTTTCTAGACCATTGAGATCGATGCTCAATGTTTACGACTTTTCAACTATCATGTCGATGGCGGCAAAGTCGTAAGAATTCAGCACTGATCATGTTTACTCCCAGGTAAGCTGGTATTCATAGATTTGAAGTTGGGTTAGCTTTAAGCCGCCACTGGAGATAGATTTCCGATATTTTACAATGACAGCTCAACGCCTTAATCATTGAGCCATTGTGGCTACACAATTAATCGTAACTAATTTTAATTGGGAGTAAAAACAATTTACGAATAATCATGTAATAGAAGTTAAATTTAAGCAATTCTAGAAGGATAACTAATGTGAAACTTAAAGAAACCGAATTTTTATTTTAATTCAATTTAACAAGATGCGCAATCAAAAATACTATATGCATGGTGTTCTGTTTTATTTACTCATAATACTTTGTTAAAAATGAAGTTAAAAAAAAACATTAATTTTACTTCCAATAAGTCAGCAAATCAATATTTAAACATAGAAAAGACAAAAATGCTAATAAAATATGGCGAATTGTTATTAGAGAAAGCGGGGTCAAAAACTTAAAAAAACATTTTTGCTGTTAGAGGGTCTTTCTAAGAGTAGCATAGTACCAATTCTCATTTTTTCCCTGCAATTAAATAGTTCATTTAATTTTATATTTTATTTTTTTAATATCGCCCTCTTAATTAACTATTTGTCTTGTTTTGACAACTTTTTTCCCCCTTGCTTAAATGTTAGTTTATGATCATTAATTTGATTTTTTACTTATGGTTTGAATTTTTGTTTCGCAATATGGAGATGATTTATGAAATAAAGGTAAGTGCGCATTGCAAACAATGATCTAGATCATAGATTCTCAACCTTTTTAGCGTTACCGCCCCCCTATGGAGAAAAAAAAATTGCTACGCCCCCACCCTTTTTGCGAAAATCTAGTTATTTTGAGAAAGGGGGTTGAGGGGGTGCTGAATTATAAGGAGCAACATTTTTAAGCAATTTCTTTAGAAGTAAATTTGCTTGGTTTTTTTTAAAAAAAAAATTAATGTGCACGTTAGCTCAATATTTTTCCCCCGTCAGGTAATCGCAGTCTATTTGTAATGATAAAAATAAATACAGTGTTGGAAAAAAAATACAACAAAGAAACCTATAATTAAAATGAGTAATTAATTCTTAATTCGATGATGAAAAAAATACCCAAAAATCATTTTTACTCTAGAAATTATTATCAACGAAACAATCAAGTAACTATGATAGTGGAATGAATGTGCTTGATGGTTCAGAACCAGTTTCTTAACATTCGGTTTAATACTTTTAGTGAGGTAAAGTCGTAAGAACCCTCTTTTTTTGCGACTATATCCGTCACAGCACTGAATCTTTGTTCGACAAGGTAGGAGGAAGGGAAGGCAATTTAAATTTTTTTTAATGATAATTTATAGCCCTGGCGAGTGGTGTTACCTTGAATCCAAACAAAATTCAGTGAGATCATCACCATTTCAAGGTTTCGTTTCATCCCTTTAAAGTTCGGCCGATTTCTCCTAAATCTGAACCTCTGCTGTTTCAATATTCACAAGATTCATTACCCATTGAGGGACTTCCAGGGACAAAACATCTTTGTAACGGTCGGAAAAGTCCATGTGTCAAGACTCAAGGTGTTAGCAATATTCTTGTGTATCGTCAGAGGGAATTTAACTATTCTTTTTAAGATCCGATAAGATTAGAAATTGGCTAAACTAATTCCGATCAAAATTTTGTTTCCACAAAATGTTTTTTTTTAGAAAGGCAGAAAAAGCTAATTTTGTAGCGGTCAAATTGAGCTTGTAGCCTTGAAGTTGTAAATTAACACCATTAAATTTTGCAAATAAATCGAACATGTGTGCAACTTCTATCTTAAATTCTAGCAATTTGTCTTTCAGAACTACATTTCTGACTTCGAGGAACTCAAATACAAAGTCGAAAAGATTCTAAAACTTATTGAGACATGCGACTTAGGAAAGCCAGCGAATCTCAGTGTGTAGTAGCTAACGATTGAATTCATTGTTTGTATTTTTTTTTGCACAGCTTATGAATAATCAATCGTTGAGAGCATTACTGCGGATTTTGTTCACAGCAGAGAGCTTGACATATTGCAATGACTGATGTAAACGACTACTGAGATTTTCTGTCAATGAATCCCTCTTCAAAAAGGCAATAAACCCACGATGTGGTGCCACCATTGCAGGAGTTTCATCAATAGCAAGAGATAATATTCGCAAGAGGAATATTCTGTTTAAAATAGTCTTTGGTAGAATTAAAAATAGATTCACATTGGGTTTCTACAAACAAGCTTCTTGCAAAAAGCATCTCTTGAATAATTTTTCTTTCTTTAACAAACCGGACGTACGCCAACAGTAAAGCCTCATTACTTGGCAATAGGTTGACTCATAAACTTGAGGGGAAAATACGTTGGATATCAAAAGTTAGCAAAGAAACTTCAAAACATATCCAACGCCCCCCTACTGCCCAAAACATGTTCACCGCCCCTCAGCATGCTCCTACCGCCCCCCGGGGGGCGGTATCGCCCCCGTTGAGAAACAATGGTTTAGATGATACAAAGGTTTCATGTCCCAGTATTGGGTCTCAAAAATCCACCTTTCTTATTCTACAATTTTCTTATTCTACAGTGCATAAGATAAAATATGAAACCAGTCACAATACTTAGTAACAAAAATGTGCAGGTTGAAAGAAAAAAAGAAGAAAATTTTATATCACTACACAGTTATTCTTGGCATATTCTCCTAAATTTTAATATAATATTATCTAATAATTTTTATATAACATTTATATACATATGATTATAAAATGTATCAATATATTCGTCTTAAAAATAAAATATATGTAACATAAATGTACATTTAACAAATTTCAGTATATTCTGAAACATAAAGCAATCGAATAAAATACTAGTAATGTAGTATCGACATATAAATCTAAGTAACAGCCAGCAAATACCTCATTACTTTAAAAATGATCAACAATATATTTAGGCAATCATGTTATTATGAAATATTTTCCCCACATTTTTTTAAAACCTCACCAAAAAAAAAATGTGAAAGGTCACTTACAGTTCCACGAACAACATCCCTAATAGGTGGGCACACATCATCTTTTACTGAATGGAAACCTAATATAAATTGAGATCCTTGCTTTTTTTCTGTTTGTAGGACACAAAAATCTTGTACTTCCTTTCTTAATAGCGAGACAGATTCGTTGTACATGTGAACTAAAATAATAACAATTAATATACTAAGTCTATTTTAGAGTAATATTTGAAAAAGAAGTCAGAAATTATATAAAGGTTTTAAAACATTATTAATCTTTGCATTAAAAATTGTTGATTTGGTTTTTATTTATTTATTCAATTTAACCAAAAAGCATTTTATAAATTTATTTGTTAAATTTTTTGGTGTTTTTATCCTATATTAGTTAGAACAGTAGAATCACAATTATAAGACATCCAAGTCAAGAGATATGTCAAAAATATGAGTAAAACCATTGAAAACAATTATAAACTAAAATAAAATTTAAGAAGAACTCTAATGTTTTATTTTTTTATTTTAATTAACCATACAATATTACACAAAAAATTATAGTTTTTTGTTTAATCTGTAATTTGCTAATTGACTTTTGTTTTGTTTTCTATTATTGTTTGAAATATATCACCTAACCATTATCATTCACTCAATTTACACAATGCTGTTAATAACTACAAGCATTTTTCACACAAAGCTTGTAGTAGTTAAGGGCAAACCATTGTTTACCTAATTTAACATTGAAATGAAAGGTAGGCAGACAAATAAAATGACTATGGCTTAAGCATCTCTATTGGCCTTATTTAGCAGACAAATTTTGGAATTCTTGTCAGTGATTGGATAGAACTGAATTTAATGATACAAGGTCCAAAAATGAATAAATAATTGGGTAACCTCAATTGTGATAATGAAAGCTTTTAACAAGAGTCGAAAAAGTGTTGCATAACATAAGGATCAGATGATCAGCATTATATAGTCAATATTGTACTATTATTCAAAATTATGTGTTTTACATGTTTAGTGCCAGTCTTGAGCCAGTAGGTGATAGACACTAAAATAGCATTCCCTACTGGCATGAGATTGGCAGGCAATGTATTACAGTTATTCTTCCTTATTTAAAGCATTAAATCACTGAAACATTCACAGATTAAGTGTTATGTACAGTAGGGAACCGATTATCCGGATCGATCGGGACCATCGATATTCCGGATAACTGATTTTTCCGGTTTTCTGAATCGCTACAAAAAGCCGTTTTTTTTATAGTTAAACCCAACTAAAAAAAGAAAAAAAATAGAAATAATCTTAAAAAGAAGAAAAAACGATGAAGTAATACACTAATGATTATTTCCAAAATGATGGTAAGGTAAACATCTTTCAAAAAAGAGCGAAAAATCCTAAAATCTTATGAGGAAAATAAATTTATTTTTTTTTTAAAAAAATGAAGGGAAAACTAATCGAATTTCGTTCCGGTTTTTTGGTTTTCCGGTTTTCTGATTTCCGGATAACGGGTTCTGTACTGTATAACATTTATCTCAAACATTAACAATATGCACTAAATTTTCAAGGAATTTTTTACGTTTCTAATACTTACTTAATTTTTGCCCTCCAGAATATTCCCCAAGTACAGTTATTTTCTAGAAACAAGTTAAAATACAGATATTAATGATAAAATACAAACACTACAAAAATTATTGCCACTCAAATTTGGGAAAAAAGTTCCCTGTGTATTCCTAGTACACATTATACACAATATGTTAAGAGCAAACAACAATTACTGAGCTCTTGTGTGAGCTATATTGGGCTAACTATATTTATTAGTTTTAATTGCTGGAAAAACAGCTGAACATACCTAAAAAATGTTATAGTAAATGAAATAGTTTATTATAGCTGAAATATCATGGTTAAATATCCCACAGATTAGGCTCTGAGTGGTCACCATTTTTTAAAAGACAAAAGTAAGAAACAAAATTCCCTGTATTTTCCCAGTTTGTAAAGAAAAAATCAAAATTCCCTGCATTTTCCCTGTTATTTTAGGTGATTTTTAAATTCCCTATATTTTCCAGGTTTTCCCTGTTCTCCCTGAGGAGTAGCAACCTTGTAATTATACAATCAATTATATTCATTGTATAAAGAACCAGATTTCCACGCTCAATATTATTTACAACATACATTTAACATGTTTACGGCTGATTTTTATGACGGTACAGGATCACTAGAATAGCATCCCACACTGGAGTGAGATTGGCAGCAAACATGTTAAAATAACTTAATAAAATCATGAATAGCTGCTAAAATACAGTAAAAATACCACACAAAGGGGAACAAAAACACATCTCAAATAAATAAAAGATATATATGCTTTTCTACAGCACAGGAGCAAATCAAATTTAATATTATGTGAAATAAATAATTGAAATCAAATTAATCTCACCTTTACTGTATCATCATACATAAAACGAGTAAGAGGGTTGCATAATGTTTTCCAAACTGCTTCAAATGATGTAGGAATGATACCTTTACACAAATAACTGATAGAGAAAAAATATCAGGTTAATACTAAGACAGGAGTCAAAAATGAAATGCAAATGTTCAATGTGTGATAATACTTTAAACAAAAACTACATTGTAAGAAAAAGAAAAATTAAATAGTATCACACTAAGGACATAAACTTCCGAAGGTTATCCGGAGTCCTATTTGCTTTGGATTGTCGAGAATCTATTGTGTGAGTTAAATTATCAACAAAAAATAATGTAATAACTACTCCTTAGTATTTATCAAAAAATACCTCAGCAATAAATACATATTTGAAACAATTTAATAAACTAAGATACAATTAGAGCAATGAGAACCAATGTTTATGTTTTCAATATTAAAGTAAGTATAAACAAACACCAAACCTCTTCCATATCTAATTTTGGTTAGAAAAGCTACTTCCAGCTAATAGCTTATTTTACGATACTGTATTTACAATTACTAATTTTGTAATTAAAAATAAATAAATAAATAAATGAAGGGAAGAACTAAAATTTGTTATGGCTTGTGAGACACTTATTTTTTCATATGGTTCTGTTACATTACAAGTGAATACTCTTTCAAAACAATTTTATGCATAATTTTCTAAAAGAAAATAGGGTAATACTATTTGAATAAGAATTGATGGGTTGGAATTCTCAGGGGAGATTGTGAGCCCAAGTCAAAATTCCGGAAAATTTCTTGAGTTAAAAAGTTTAAATTGAAAAAAATTCAAACAAGTTTATTTTTCCTTTTTCTCAATATTTCTTAGTTTACTTAAAATATATTTACAATTTTACACATACCTATACCATTTACACATACCTATGATGACCTGGAGAAGTAATTAAAATTTACAAATGTCTTTTTTTCTTGAGTTTATGATTACAACAACTATTTACTGATAAAAAATGAATATTAATCATGATTATAAACTTATAAAGTATCTCTCTGGCTCTCCCTTACAAACAAATAAAATAAACTGTGTTTTTAAGTTCCACCTTTGAAANCCGGTAACTCCAGGATCACTGTTACCGAAAAATCCGGATTTTTTCCAGAGCACAATCAGCCCTGAATTCTTGATTTGACTTTATTGTTCAGCACGAATACTGTGATTAATATTATACTCCTGTATATTGATTTGGATACTTATTGATTGTTAATTTTTATTTTGAAATAACAACACTAAACTAAGATTGTTAGATTAAAAACAATCAATAGGCATAGCCTCTTATGGTATAACAACAGAGCAGATAAAATAACAGTGAAATATGAAAAGAGAAATCAATACCTTCAGCTAGAGGGAGAAAAAGCATCCACATAACAATACTTAATACTAGGAGAAAATCTCAAACTGTATAAATACGTGAAAGAGAAGGTGGAAATGAAAACATACCTAACAAACACACATGATTCAAAGTGGGTTGTTTTCTTAAACACAGCTAAACTCTTATTTACTTCTTTACACCTAAGAAATTGAATAAGTTAAACCTTGAATAATAAATATTTCAAATGTATGTGGTTAATTTAATTTTAAATTTTCAAATCATAATTTATATAAATAATGTAAACAAAAAATATGCACTAAATTTAAGATTTTTTAAACACATTTAAAATTAATGGACAGCAATTATTTTAATGTAAAAATGAAAAATTTGCACTTTTTATAGAAGGTTTAGTTATGAATCAATTCATGAGATCAATCAGAAATTTTATTAGAAAAAACCTTATATCATTGTATAAACCTTAATTAATTTGAAGCATCCATAAATAATGTAAAATAATAATTGCAAGCAATATAGCAGAGTAATAATTGAAAAATATATTTTCTATAGTGTGAATAGTATTTTAAGGAAGTAATACTTATTTTCTTACAATTTAAAATTAATGACTGAGAAATAATTTTTTAAAATACATTTGTTAAGTGATAATTTAATTAATCAAAAAATACTATAGTTCAAATTAAACTGCAAATAATTTTTTCCTAAAATCATCTAGCAGATTTTATGTGTCGTATGTGTTCACTCGCAGATATAATGGATCAAAGAGGTTTTTCTCTTGAAGCGTTTTTTTCCTTTCAGTATTTGGCAACACTTATCACAATAAATATGAAATTATAATATAAAATCTAAAACTACTACTAAACTCGGTGGCGCAACAGCCTGTAGAGGGCCAAGGCCTACTGTGCCCATCTCAGTTTTCTTGACCTAGGGCTCTGGGGTGCAGGAACAGATGCTCCGGTTAGGTGGTCAGCCTAATGCGAAACCTCCAGTGTTTAGTTCCCAAGCATGCTCGGTACTCATTTATCGACCCGCTGAAGAGATGAAAGGCTGATAATATAAAATCATTTTCTTTTCTTTTTTGTAAAGTTTTGAAATATTAAAATTTTAACTCAGCTAATAAAAAAGTACAGCATTCTTATTGTAAATATGAAGGGAAATTTTATGAACTTACCCAAGTAATGAAACTCAAATTTTATAGCATGATATGCTATAAAATTTGACTCAGTGCATTAACCAGTACACTGAGTTTAAAGAGCTTTTTTATCACTAGGTAACATTTATTGGGATAAATAGGATATTGTAACATATCCTATTAGTGTTCTTCTTCCTATTTCCTATTAGTGTTCTTCTTCCTATTAATTTCTATATCCTATTAGTGTTATTCTTTTCATCTTAAATTTTTTAAAAGGAAATAAAATTACATTTGAATAATTAGCAAAAAAACTGCATTTTTCCTTTAAGTAATTATTTTTATGAACTTATATCAATCATGAAAATTAAATTTCACTCATAGGAAATGTATTGTATTAAAAAAATGCATAAAGAATATTAATAGAACTTCTTTATCTTTCACTTACACCCAACCTCCACTTGCTCGTTTCTGCTCTTCTTCTGGTGCATTGATGTCAACTAATGATGCTCTGAGATTCTGAAAAGGGAAAAAAAGCCAATATATAAAAATTTGTTTCCACAATGTGAAATACAAGCAACTAAAAACAAATGCAAAAAAATTGACAATAAACTTTCGCATCTTACTTCAATGAAAGATGAAATATAATAAACTAATACAAAATACATAAATTAAAATGAATACCTCTTCAAGAACAGCAGAAATTGAAAACTCTCCCAGTGCTTTAAAATCATTCTCACCTAAACATTAAATTAAATAAATAAAAACTCATTAAAATATTTAAAAATTTTACGACATATAAAAACACTTAAGAGTTTTAAAAAGAAAATTAAATTCTTTGGCATGATCAATGATGTGTATGGATTAATGATTACAATGATGTGTGTCAATGATGTTTTTGGATTAATGATTACAATGATGTGTCAACGATGTATTTATTACATTTCTAACTAAGTTTACTAAGTAAAAGCTGCACATAGTTTTACGTTAATTTAAAGAAGTAAATTTAGTATGTAAGTTTCAAAATAAATTCAGTAATGGGCATACAATAAAAAATATAAGCTGCAAAAAAAGTTAGAATGAGAAAATATTGCAATGTAGTATTATAGAAAATTAATTACTTCAATCCATACCTGCAATTGGACAAAGCCATGTCACATGTAAATTGGGAAAATTAAACATAATTTGAATACAGCCTAAGCATTTTTAAGCAGAGTTTTTTCGTTTCTATTTTACTAAATTAATTAGCACATGTGACTTGGAATTGCTTTATTTTATTGTAAAGCAAGTAAGAGATTTTATTCTTAGAAGCAGTGAGCAGTGGATATTATAAAAAACCTATTCTACAACCAAAATCCCCATTCATCCTCATTTATTGTTTACTATTTAGATAATGCTGAGAGAGTTTGCAGTTTATAATGCTTACTCCGTTTCTTCATTTGAAAAAAATTTAAGTTATTTAAGTAATAAAAAATTAACTACTATGTTTGGTCAATAAAAAAAAAAGTCATTTCCCAGCCTTTTGAAAACAATACAAATTTAGTTATTTTCATATCTGACTATTTGGTTTAGCTTCTTTGGCTTCTTCGCCTATTTCTCACGCCCATGTCCTAACTGTACAACAATTCAAGAATAATATTAGGACTACAAATAAAAAAATTCCTAATATATTATTAGAGTATTAATAGTATAATTCAAGATAAAAAAAAATACATACTTTCCATATCATATGCCTTTCGTAGGAACTTGTCTTCGTCGTTTGCATCTGATACATCAAGATCCCTGTATGATCCACCAAAAAGTTCTTCCTGACTTGAAAGAGAAGATCTTTTCTCAAAAATGAAAAAACCTTTCTTTTTTTGTTTTGTAGGACTGCAGGGTGATGGACTCCTACTTCTCTGATAGGAGGAATCAGATGAGCGACGCTGCTGAAAAAGGACATTCAGGAAAGAATGGCTTACAGCTCGTTTTGGAGGTACACCTTCATCATCAGGCTGGGTAACAGTGAGTTCAGGGGCTCTTTTACGAATAGGAGTAGTAAGTGATGATGATCGTCTGTTCTCAATTTCCAAATACTATGAAAAATAATTCAATATTTCAAATCACTTCAATTTTTAAATATTACTTTGATCTTTAAGGTATAGAAGATAAAAAAATTTTAATTAAAAATTCTGAATTAGTGAAAAAAATGAAGCTAGACGATTTGCTTTAAATAAAATAATGAGAAATTCTTACAAAAAATAATACACTATTCAGCTTCAAAATTGTTGTTTAAATAAAATTTTAAAAAATTTTAAATTTATTTATATATATTTTTTTTACACCAAGATGAAATAAAGTTTTCACAGATATATTTAACTCTATAAAAATCTTGTACAGCAAAACTCACAGAAAATTTAAAAAAATTCAATAATTTTTAACCACTGCTATATATATTTAGACACATTTTCAAGCAACATGATTAATATTACTTTGCCTGAAACAAATAAAAAATTACAAAAATTGTCATTATTAAAATAAGTTTATGTAATTTCTGATATTTTCTTTTTACTTCATTTCAAAATCATAATTAAGTACGAAAGGTAGATGCATGATTACTCATCTAGAAAATATTTAATTTACATACATACAGCTGCCAATCAATCAGTCAATTTACTAATATTAACAATGTACTTAACTTAACAAATACTGTGCAAACAATATATGTATTACAACATTTATTAACCGGAATCAAAAATAAAATTATATCATTTAAAAGGATTTTATGACAAGTTTTCATTATTTTATTTTACATAGTTAGAATATGTATTAACTTTATATTTGATATTTTCAAAAATAGGTTTGAATATTTAATACATAACAGCATCCAAATAGAACTTTGAATCATCATTTTAAGATATCTCTTGCTAGACACTGCTATAATACAGCACTGCTAATGTCACTGACCTAGATTTCCTAGAATCATTCCATATACTTTTATTAATTTAGTAAATAAACTTTTAAGCAACCTGTTTTTGTTTTTTCAAACCTATTTCTTTTTTCCTTTACTTTCTAAATCTTGGGTCCTTAATTCTTATTTATCCCTACTATTTGGCAGGCATGTGTGTTTTGATTGGGAAGAAGGTACTTCAATATAATATCAAAGTAACCATACATCTGGTTATGTGACATTATTTGGACTGCTTTCATTTTCTTGTAACTTCATTCACATAATAGGGTTCAAAATATTAATACTATGAAAAATCAGGAGAAAAATTTAAGATAGACAATGTTACACATGGATTTTGCCTTTATATGGATTAATACCTTTATGGATTTATATGGGGTAATACCTTTGAAAGCTATTATATTTAAGATTATACAACAATAAGATTATTCCTCAATATATTTGCATTGCACAAACAAAAATCCTTTTATTATATAATCCTTCAATATATTACTTATATGATCCTCCAATTTATTACTCATTTAATACTTAAACTATTAACCAAGAGAACTTTTTAATGGATAATAGTTTAAGAATTTTGAAAAACATTAAGTTTTCCTAATGGTTAATAGTTTGTGTTTTATTTAATAATAAAAATAGTAAAATACCATTTCATAAAAATTTATTTTAACCAAGTAGTAACCATGTCTATTAATAAACTAGTCACATATTTTTCAATTAATGAGCCACAATTTCAAACATACTTTTTTTGTTTAGCTCATGAATTAGTTTACATCTGAATGCTGTGTAAATAGAAATTTCAGTAAAGAAACATGACTTTACTTCCGAGGCCTCGGATAGATCAAAAAAATTGATTGAAGGAAAAATATAAAAGATTTTCTTATTTATAACTGTTATGATTCTGGATCTAGATAAAAAAAAATCTGAATGGAATTAACACCATAGTAGCTATTTTTTTTTTTCAAATATTTTAAAAAAGTTAAAGAATTACATTTTTTTTTAAAAAAAATTGTCTTGATTCATGGTGACAAAAAGTTGAATAAACATTGATATGATCCAAGGCTATTCCATGCATGAAAAATTCTTCTGAAATTCAAAGCTTTCATTTGTTATAAAAAGTAACTTATAGAACTTCAGCCAACTTGAAAAATATTGATTTGAAAAATTGCTATTATATTCCCACATTATGTTTGGGGTTAACTTTTCAATGACAGTTTTACATAATTCAATGAATCATTTTATACAAACCTTTTTTCACTTTCTGAAATAAAGAATGTTCTGTTATAAGTGATTTGATTGTAAAGATAAATAATGGCAAAATTTAAGCCTTTATGGTACAGATTTATTCAAAAATTATTTTCATATTTTTGAAATAAATTGTGAAAGATAATAAACTATACACAGTAATTTGGGAAAAAAAGAAATGATGATAAAGTAACAAAAAAGTATGCAAACCTTACAACATTTTGTATTACTTTTACAGCAAATCTGATTCCTATAATAATAACCCAAATGTTTCTATTCTGTTATGAAATGTAACATAATAGACATGGTGGGCAATGTACATTTGAATGTAATGTTAAAAGTAGATTTGTTTCCATAAATGCTTGATTGAAATCTATGAATTCTAATTTTATTCTCAAATTTATTTTCAATCTGCGCTATATTAGCTTTGGTAGATCAAGTTATATACTTTACTGTAAAAAAATATCAACAAAAAAAATTTTTTTGATATAAAAAAAAACTCTTTTGTCATATTTGAATTTATTACTTGTAGCAGGTATCATTGTCAATAAAAATGCATATAAAATGTTTTCAAAAAGCAACTTTGTATATTAAATATCTTTTTTTTTCTTTTTTTTTAAAAAAGAACAAGCAATATTTTAATTAAATCAATTTAGAAAGAATATCTATTTGAAAGGAAAATTTTAAACATTGAATAATTAAACTAATTATAGATATATATAGATAGATAGATATTAATATTAGTTTAATTATTCAATGTTTAAAATTTTTCTTGGAATAGAAAGAATCATACAGAGTTCCCATTTAATTTCAGAAAGAAAAAAAAATTCTTGACTTTTCAAAGTATTTTGGGAAAATTTTAATGGAATTCAAAGCATATTTTTATCAATACTATGCAATTTTTCATTGGAAATCTTCGTTTTTTATTTGAAATGTCAAATATTGGACTGTGTGAGCAAAAAAATATTACTGAATAAGGATGGAAACATGAAAAAGTGCCACTAAAATGAGGAATTTGTATAGCAAATAATTGTAATAGAATTGTTTGAATCGAATCTCCATAACTGATTACTGTTACTGACAATTCTAAGATTGGTTATCTTCCAGGTATAATGTAGGTATTTTCCATGATAAAAAAAAAAATTACAACTTTCTCTGCCAATTCTCTGCTTCTTTTAGATTCAAAATAAAATTCTCTGACACTTTCAGGTTATTACTCAAGCGCCAGAGCATCATAGGTGCTTCTCGGTTCTCAAAGTTTAAATGACCTTTAAGCATCAACTAATTCCCCCATAGATAATTTACACATTTGACTATACAAAAATGACTACCCTCCCAGCAATTTTCAATAACACTAGTTTTAAACGGTGGGACAAACATAGATCTAAACTGTAAACTCTGACGTGTTTAAATTTATTTCAGAGAAAAACTTTAAAGTACATTTGTAATTAAATCTAATGACATGAATTAACATAAATTATTGCAAATTTTTCTAAAAATACTTAAAAATATTTCTTTCTAACCAAAAGGACTAATTTTGGACATTCATGATGTCCAAGTCAAGNAATCACAGTCAATAAAAAAAAAAAAACATTTATAGAATTTAGAAAATGTTTAAAAATAGAAATATGAATATAAAATTTAAATATAATGGTTACTTAATACCCTTAACAAATGTCAGCAATAAATACTGTGGGAAAGAGTTTTAGAAAAAGCAATTAAGTGTTTTGATGCTTCTCCAAAAAAGTAATGTAAGGTACTCTTTAATCATTTAGACAAAACATAGCAAAATAAGTGCTTTTTATTTATCCATCCTTAAAATAATTTTTACAAGTATTTTCTTTGGTATTTTGTGATAGAAATTTTCTGGGACAAAATTCTATTTTGTTACATGTTGCAGTTTGTTATAGTTTTTCCTATAAATTTATTAATTACAATAATTTGAAGACTTGAAAAGTTGTTATAGCATTAATTTTATTTAATTAAAAAATACTTTGCATAAGTAGTCAATATTTAGAGCAAGTGGTGAATATTGTAAAAATAGGTTTTAAATATTTATTCCCACCATTTTATAAGTGTCCACACATATTATTTTGATTTAAAAAGTGTTATCCAAAAATCGCAGGATTAAATATTTAATATTGAGTCATATTAATGTTTATCATAAGTACTATTAATCTAATTTAACTACTTGTTAAATTATATTTTTTTAAAGGCATTCAACTGAGAAATGCTACACTAACAAATCAAATTATATGTGTTTACAAATCTTCTTAATAATCTGTCAACAAAACATTGATTTCAAAATGTAAGAATTAACTTATAACACTAAAATGTATTTCAAGGATGGTTTTGTAAATAAAATTCTAATCTCATTCACATAAATTCATTTTAATTTTTTCATTTGTATGAAGTCTCATTGTTATGAGCAATTGATATAAATTTTACAGTAGCTAGTAAAAAAATTCCACACCATCGTTAAAAATTTGGTTAGATATTGATTTTATTTTGAAGTTTTATTTCACGTTTGGAACTTATGTATGCAAATTTTTTTAAAAAGTACTTTAAGTACAGTGAAACTTCAACACCTTGAAACAACATGAAAAGCCGAAACTACTTTAAGTTACCAAAAATTAAATAAATATGTCATTTCAACATGAAGAAAGACAAAATAACAAATAATTATCTCAGTTTTGTTTTCTTTAGAATTACGTAAAAAATGCATTACGGAATGTGAAATTCCGCAGCAATATCTTTTTCCTTTCTGTTGTCATTTTTCTCTAGTAGTACAATGAAGTTAGATACATCATGGTAAATAACTTTAAAGAACTTTTTCTGTATGCCATTAAAGTGTTAATGCAGTTTGAAATAACTAGTATAGAGCTGTAGATAGAAAATGCTAACCAAAAGACTAACTAAGCTATAAAATTAGAGCAGAAGACAAAAAACCCATGTAAAACACTTTTGAATGCTACACTTGCATATAGTAAAATGCTAGTCAAACTATTTTTTTAATATTAGAACTTAATCTAAGATCTATCACTCGCATACAAAAGAGTTAGTATAAACATAAACACTTTTAACTTACTAACCTGAAAGAAAATTTGTAGATTATCAAAGGAATCTCAGGGTTCTTATAATCTCAAAAATGGGGTAACTTCACACATGAATGGGGTATTTTCATAAAAAGAGATAAACCAAGATGAATTTTCTTGTTAAACGTGTAGTTTATTTCAACTTTTGTACTGCATTATTTGACTAAGTTATAGCAAATCGTAAACAAAGAAAAATATAATAATGACAACCAAAGCTGACATTGTCAAGGAGTACCAGCGACGAAAGCCATTCTCTTTTTATATTGTCGAGTAAGTTATAAACTTTCTACCAAAGAAAACCCATTTGTTAATGAAATTTGATGTTCATGAATTTTTTTACCCTCAAATTAGCAAAAAAATCAATTAAATAAATTTTAAATAATTAAAAAATATTCAATTTTAAAGATGGTATTTTTCTTTGGCTTTGAAATTACTTCTAACCATTAACAATTAGATTAATAGAAGCTAGGCTGCATCTTTTAAAAACAAAGTTCTGTAAAGGGCAATAAAAATTATTTTAATTTATGAAAATGATTTTATAAATAATAAAAATAAAAAAAATTTATCAAATAACAAATTTTTGAGCTTTTCTGAAATTAATATCAATGATTCAATATAGAATCAATCTTGAGAAGAAATTTGTAGACTAGAAAAAATAATCTTAGCATCTAAACATGATACTAAATAAATAAAAAAAGTATATACAATGTAATAAAATGAATACTAAAGCAAATATATTTTATTCTTTTCTATTATTTACTAAAAAAATTTTCACAGTGCAGTAAAAGCCATAAGCAATAAAAAAATATGATCATACAATTTAAAACAATTGCATATACAAAACTACGAAAATCATAGAAAATGACTTTAACAAATTAATGCAAAAAAAATACATTGTAAAAATTTGTACAAAACAATATAAATGCTTTAATTTATTTCAACATCAATTTTGTTGAAGGTTCTACATAAAAAGCTTGTCAGTTGTTCAAAAAATAGTTTTTTTTTTTCATCATTAATTTTTATGATAGTTTTAAAATTTTGATGTTTTCACATTACAGCCACTTACCTTCTTTCTTGGAGCATTTGATGTCATGGAATCGCTCCTCAATTTTAATCTTCTCCTCGACTTTCGTTTATCTTCAGTCAGTGTTTCGCAGTTAATCACATTATTATTATTAGACTTCTTAAATGGGAACAACATTAATGTGAAGCCTGTAAGGTTTTTTACAGTTACAGGTTTTTCAGAAGATGCTGCGATAACAGCTAAAGCACCATTTTGGAATGACATAGGTCTATCTTCGTGCTCTAGAAGCACACAAGGTTTTCTTGGAAGATCATTTAAAGCAGTGTGAATGCTTGGGAAATGAGGATTATTTAACGATGAGGTATTTATCAAGGACTGAAATGGACGGACTTTTAGTTGACTCCATGAGATAGCTTCTGATAAGCTCAAAATTTTTTTGCACAAGGACTCGGGCATATTGTGCTGCAATGGCTCACAGCCCCAAATCACAGTCAATACACAAGCATTTTCATCATTACCTGCAAAAAAAAAGATCAAAATAATATTGGAGATTAACGTTTAATAAAACATAAAATTATACAAAGCAATCTGTTAAGAATGTATAATCCAGTGGTTTCCAAATTAAGAACCTTGACAAACAGGAGTGATTTGGAATTTTATCATGAACTTTTTTGTGCAAAGTGCAGAAAGTTTTAAAATTACTTCATTCATTAGTTATTTATAAAGATAACAATCATCCCTCCATAAAAAAATAATAAATAAATATTTCATAAAGAAAGGTTAAAGGTCGGGATAGCCTGGTCGGTAGGGCGCTGGGCTCATGTCCAAGTGCTTGGAGGTTCATTCCCCGCCGGCCGAAGACTCCCTGCGTAGGAAATGGTGACTGATGCACGTTAAATATCATGAGTCGCAAAGTCTTCCATGTTCTCTTAACAAATCGATACCTCTGAGGGTACTGATTAAAGAGTTTCCTTGTCCTGTGGATTGGTTCAAAATTACAAGGCTCCGGAGATGAACATTAGTAGTCGTAAACACAAAAATTGGGTCGGCTGTTATTATTGTACTGTTACATTAAAATTATCAGTATTAAATAGTTAATGTTCCTTCATATCAATATATAATTAGTATTTGTTACAGAGTTCAAGACTTCTATCATCAAATAATTTTTAAGTATAGTTGCAATAGTCTGGAAATGAAAACACCGTGAATATGCCACTCAATATTTTTGTACAAAAGTAATTTTAGCGGTTGTTCCTCAATAAAAAATTCTATGATATGATAACGGTATTGCTAATTGGGAGCAAATCATTTTTAAATTCAGATAATAATAAAAAAAAATTATTCTAAAATTATAAAACTAAGAAACTCCACCTTACAAGCCTTGTTACTACATTTGATTAAAATAATATACAAGCATATGAAACCTGAATTCCTCACCATAAAAATTTTTAATGAAAAATGATTTTCTTAAAAAAAAAATTTATCTCTGAAAGAAAATTACTCTAAGAAATCTTTGAAACAGTTAAAGAAAATGTTTGGCAGAATCAGTACAATTAGGAATCATAGAAAAAAATTAAGCAACTTAATATAATTTCTGTTATTAACACATACAGAGTAAGATGCCTTGGTCACATCTATAGAAAAGATGGCAGCGACCCAGTTATAAAGCTAACCTTTGGAAAGTTTACTGGCAACCGAAAGATGGGATGACAAAACACCAGATAATTTGATACTGTAGAAAAAATCTTAAAACCATGGGCATCAATGCATAGAGAAAACTAGGACAGCCTTGGCCTGTACTACAGGCTATCATGCTGAAAGATGAAGAATAAATAAAATAAAAAAAATAAAAAGATTTTTTTTTTTAAATTTTTCAATGGACTATTAAATATTGCTTCAAGTTATAAAGATAGATGCAAAAAGATTATTTTCTTGATGTGATTAAACCATAATAAATATATTAATCTTAAATAACATTTAACTTCCTCCAGTTTACTCAATATCAAAGAACATAAAGGAGGCATGATTACATAAAAATGTCATACCTGAGCAATTATCAATTGGTTGAGCAATGTACAGAGTCCAATCTAGTTGCTTAGCATTCCACAACAAAATCCAACCAGTGCCATTGCTTTCTAGATTGCCAAACCTGAATGTGAAAAAAAAAATCACCATTGTGTTAAAATTGATTTTAATAGAATTCTGAATTACTTAATTAATATAAAAAAGACATACATTAAAAGAATAATCCTTAAATTACAATCAAATGGAGAGAAAAAAAACATGAATCTTATTTGATAAATCCATGGCATCTGCACTTATTTCAAAGAAAACAGAAGAATCACAGACCTGGAAGCTTTTCCTATTTTTATTCAGATATTTTTCCAAGTATTTAAAGAGGCATGAAAATGTATGATTTTTGAATTTTTATGTAAATATTTATTTTTGAATTAACTATAATAAATTATTAACGTAATAATATTATTAACTATAATAAATAAAACTAAATAAATTATGTTTGCTCACTTAAGTGAAATGTTTCTGCATCGTTCAGTAACTATTATATACAATTCGTGTTACAAAGTGTCTTTACAAACTATGAAGTTCTTTCTTCCCCGGCAGTATCCACTTATTTATTTAGGGCAAATAACTGATCATAAAATTTTTAGTGTGTAAAATATATAATATAATAAATTACTCTATTTCAGAAAAAAATAATTTAAAAAAAACCTATTCGGAAAGATTCTGTACATATTTCAATTGAGATTCTTTAAAATATTAGTTTCCTATTATCAATTTTTTAAATAGTTTAATAATACAAGGAATAAATTTACATTAAAAGTTAAATTTTCTACCTGTACATTTCAACTTCTGGCTTAGCTTTCAATTTTGAAGATGTCAAGACAACTTGATCACATTGCATATATGGGTCAAAGTGCAATGAAGGATTTTCAGGTAATTCCAAATTGATGCTTTGTGCTGGGGCTTGAATATCCCATTCAGACCAAGTCGAAACATCAGCAATAACATTTAAGAGTATCTAGAAAGAAAAAAAAACAAATACTTTCAATAAATAAATAAAATGAAACAAGCGAAATAATTTCATATTTCAACTGAAGTGGTCTTTTCTGGTCTAGAGGCCTGATAAAAGCCTCATTTTTAAAAATAAAAAAAGATTTCCCCATTGAAATGAAAAGATAAGTTATAGAATGTTTTCATGGTTTCATTTCGTCACTATTCAGCTACTGATGCAGAGCAAGGAAACCCAAAATTGTAAGTGAAACAAAAACATTGATAAAGTGAGCCAAAGGGTAAGTATGGCAAAGTTCCCTCTTGCTGTAGGGGTTAGATCCATTTAGGAGTCAAAGCAAAAACATAATAATTTAAAATCAAAATTTTTGTTTGTTGTTTCAAAATGCATCTTCCTATAAGGGTACAGTAATTAAACGAAAATTGAGGACATACAAAATCATGGAACAATATATACAAATTAATTATTCAAAGAATATTGATTATAAATATTCAAGTAGATAGTCACACTATATCAGAATAAAAATATGCATAATTTTATCCAAGTAACACTTTCATCTGACTTAGATAAAATAAAAAAAACTTCATGCAAACACAAAAAATATTCAAAAAGAATTTTTTGCAAGCAAATTATTGACTGTTAACTAATTTCAACCTTTTCTACCAAAGAGTCATTTTCGTCTCCACCTAATTTTACTATAATCTATTGGAAAGCTGCTGATATTTTAATAAGTGCTTAGTTTTTATATAACACTATATTGATAATCATGTATACCAGTTCGTTATTCTCAGCAGTGTTTTTAAGGCATCAAACGGATGATTGATTTACCTTGTTTTACATATACTTAGCTTTCGATGCATATCTAAAATCAAAGTTGCTCAGAAACATTTCAATGCAAACACTTAATAATTCTTTTTTTTTCCCAATGAGTAATACTAAAATATTTTTCACATATGACATTCCCTCATTCATCTATATTATGCATATCTGACTTTCATTACATATAATATTATTAGTAAATTACTTAAAAAGTTCAGATGTATGTAGACAGGGAACAGCAATGATTATTTATACTTTTAAATATATAATTTAAATATAAAATGTGCTTTCTATAACTCCTTATAAGTATTTTAAACAAAGCATCCCATTGAATAGTATAAATAAATATTTTAATGAGAAATATAGCTTACGGCTGCAAAAGTTAATGACTTGAGAAAATAACCCATATTTATATCTATGTGGCAGTAAATATATTAACAGCAGCAACTTACCACAGCAGCACAAGGAATTTCTTTTACGCAAGCATAAGTTGAAACAGGCGCTCCCAATAATTCAATAGAAAATTCTTTTTGCCAGCAGCGAAGGCTACAATGTGACGGGGTTAAACTCCAACCATTAGCAGAATTCAAAGGTAAACTCTAAAAAAATATATATATATTTATGTAATTACTTTTAAAAGACATAATTCAATAGTAAAACATAAAAAAGAACATTTCATAAAAACTGACTTATTTTTTTATGTAGTGGCAATGCCGCAACACTAAAAATTCAGGCAATTTTTTTTTGAAATGGTAAGTAAACTATTATTCTAAATTCATCACACGACTATATTTTCCAAGTTTCATAAACTTATTTTTTGGCAGCGTTATGTTGATGGGCTTTATTAAATACGGTGATATGATCTCAGATCTCGGGGTTTCAATCATAACAAACGCCTTTTAACATAATATATATTTAATAACAAAAGAATGATGATAATGGTACAGTGTCATGGAGGAAACTGATTAGAAACCCAGAGATCTGAGATCATATCACCGTATTTAATATTGACGCCCAACGTGGGGCACCAATATTAAATACGGTGATATGATCTCAGATCTCGGGGTTTCAATCATAAAACGTCCTATAAATATATTATGTTAAAAGGCGTTTGTTATGATTGAAACCCCGAGATCTGAGATCATATCACCGTATTTAATATTGGCGATTAGAAACTAATGATTTTACATTACTGCGCAGAGCGCCATCTATTGAGCTTTAGAAATTATAATTAATATAGAGAAATAATATTAACAGGCTTTTCCAGGGTATGGAAGGTATTCAAGTGTTTATGGACGATGCATGCATTACAGGGGTAGATGAAACATCACATTTCAAGGTTTTAAATTAGTTTTTAAAAAAAGCAAAGATCATAGTTTAAAATTACATTTTTAAAAAAAGACAGTTTTTTCAGTATGGAATTAATTTTTTAGGACAAAAAATTAATGCCAACTGGTTGCACAAAAACAGTGATAAAATCTGAGCAATTCTAACTCCATCCATCCTTAAAGATGTACAAGAAGTGAAAAATATTCTAGGGATGATCAATTTTGTAATAACTAGCCAGCACGGCCAATCCTTTTAATGAATTAACTTAAAAAAAGGTGTAGAATTTGACTTTTACTTTCATGTCATGAAGCCTTTGAGTGAATCAAAAAAGACATTTTTTCACTTGAAATCCTAGTATACTATGATCCAGCTCTGCCTCCTAATTTAGCTACTGATGCAGGAATATGTCATGTTGCAAGTACCCAATTGGCCAAAAAAAGGATTGAAAAGTTACTTGGATTTACGATGAAATCAATACAAATAAAGATGGTCAAAAGTGATTATTCAAAATCGAATGTCTCGTATCTAATGAAAAATATTGTGAAACTTCAACACCATGTGGAAAAACATAGAGCAATAGATGTCATAAAAACAATTAAAAATCCACTTAATTTGCGATGAAAAAGTTGCAAATAAACCAAAATCATGTAGAAATCTGTTGCCACTACTGGCAAAAAATTTCTCAGAAACTACCTAAATTTTTTATGGAATTTGGACAAATTAAGTGCATTGAAAAATGTGCAATTTAAAATTCTTGACTTTATATTTATTTTAAGAAAAGGGTAATAAATGTTTTTATTATACTCAGGTGATGCTGTTTGCCACACATCAATAACTAGTGAGTCACAAGTTATGTAGAAAAGTTATAAAAGTACAAGTTATGTGTATACACCCCTTTTGCCAAAGCTACACTGATGCTAAAATTACAAAATGAAAGGTTCAAGTAAAACTATTTATTTGTGGATATTTCCCTTTGTGATCTGCCGCGCAAAATATAATGACCAAGATACAACAGGGATTTTATACTTTTTTATTTCATTTTATAACCGTCGTTGAACAGCCGACCCAATGGGATTTTATACTTGCAATTTTTTTAAAAAACAAGTAAAGGTTTGGCCCGGAAGTTAGCCTCTTCGTGATTTTGTTTTTCAGTTTCTTGCAGGCCATCGCCCAGAAATTGTGATTTTTCTGTCCCAGATCACAATACGGAAATCTTTCCATTTATTTTTTAGTAAAGTTAATTGACATTAAGTCAATAGACTTCATTAAAAAAATTATACCCTAGAAATTATTTAAAAAAAGTTTGACTTACTTCACGATGCAGTTCAACAAATTTTACAATAACTACAGTAGTTTCCTGAAAAGAAATAGAAAAGAGCTTTTGAGAAAAAGAGATAAGAAATATGCTTTTTACTTTACTGCATCACACAAACTGCACTTTTTCTAAAAACCCAAAATATACAGTAGATGAGAAAACTACATTTGAACTATGACAGCTACGAATTTAATACTTAAAACACAAATTTAAAACTTTGTATAATACCCTAATAAAACAATATTTCTATTAAAAAATTATAACTAATTAAGTACAGAGAGTATAAAATGGAAAATTTGGAAAAAAAAAAACACAGTTAAATAATACTTCGAGTACAAACGGAATAAGTTATCATGACAAACATTTTAAAAAATTAAAATTTTTAGAAATTTTCTTAAAAAATTTAAACAATTCTTCTAAAAAATAATGAAACATTCAGTGATAAACTATTAATTTTAAGAAGAATTTAAAAACTTAAGAACTGTTTGATATTTTTCACTTAATAAGCAATCGTAGTACGTCAAAAACCGAGTACATATGCACTTAAAAAACGATCAATGGAGTGAAGACCATAAAAACATTTGCTGAATGAATACTTACATTAATAGTTTTAGTAAATTTTTTAGGGTTCACAAAGAGTAATAATATCAAAAATAACGAAAGACCAAGGCATATCGCAATGAACAAACCTAACAATACGGAAAACATTGAAATACTTTAACATTCGTATATTTTTAACATTTTATAAACAAAAAACAAGGCAAGGCTAAAGCTGAACTAGATTGAACATCTCGCGACAAACATGAGTTCCCGGTCACGGCTAACTAAAGATTTAATGCATATATTCTTTTTATAAGTAGAGCCACGTAGATGAAATCGAACATAGTTTAGTAATCGGAGCATATTCTTCACAGAAATAAACAGGAAAGCACTTAAACATTTGTTTTAAACAGGAAACGAAATCTGTGTAACGTAAACTGATAGTGAAAAGAAAAAGAAACGAAAACTGCGTATTTAATAAATCATTTCATTCATTTAGATTAAATATTTTTAATTGTGAACTTTTTTTTTGTAAAATTTTTAGGAAAAACCGAGAAAAGTTTATTAACTTTTTGGTGAGCATGTTCTTCAAACTTTGAAACTTATGTTTCAAATTATGGAATCATCAGTCCCTGTAATCGAACTCGATAATGATGAAGGAATAGAAAAACAGATTATTACTCTTGATGCATTGGAAGATGACTTTAATTCTGATAAAGTGCCTGTGGTCACTTTAGAAGATGATGTCGCGATTGAACCTGTGGTCATTTCTCTTGATGATGACAAAGCTCAAAATGATTCGGACATCGTAGTTGACTATCGAAATACCGAAGACTCAGCAGAAAGCGCTGACATTATTTGCGACGGTGCGTTAAAACGTCCGATCATTTCTGACGACGATGTCACGATCTCGGAGAACGTCATAACGTTAGACGATTCTGATCATCTTGTACCATCAGAATATTATCAAGGAAAGGTAAAACAGTTTTATAAAAATACAGAAAAAACAATTCCATCCACTAGTAGAAATGAAGACATTGAAATGGATGTAATTTTGTCCCCTGATCCTTTAAAAGTGAATTCAAACATAACACTTCTCAAAAGCATAAAGAAAGAAAAAATAATACCATCAACAAGTGACAATGAAGACATAGAAATAGATGTAATTTTGTCACCTGATCATTTAAAGTCGTTATCAAATTCTAACAAAAAACTTCAAGAGTGTAAAAAATGTCACAAAATGTTTCTAACACTTCAGAAATTAAACAACCATTCATGTACAACCACAAGTAAAAAAAGATTTCTTTGTGAAACCTGCAATGAAACGTTTTCTGATAAAATTACATTGAGTAAACATATGAAAACTCATAATGGGGGCAAACCCTATATTTGTGATATCTGTTTTAAAGAATTTAGTGAAAAAAATATATTACGCATGCATTATAACACACATACTGGTGAAAAACCATTTGCATGTACAATTTGTGACAAAGTCTTTCCTAATACTTTAACTCTAAAAAATCATTATGAGATGCATACTGGAGAAAAACCATATGTGTGTGATGTATGCTTAGCAAGTTTTGACCTCAAATCCAGTTTGTGTAACCATAAATTAGAAGAACATAAATTCTTAACTGTAATTTAACGATATCTTTTTAAACCTTATGTAATGTTAATTTATTCTAAATAATTTTTAAGTTATTCATATTGACTAAGCAAAATTAATTATAGTAAGAGAGGATTCTTTATTTAAAGTATGAAATCAAATTTATAATTAGTGTTCTCCCTAAGCATTTATAGAAGGGCAGCTTGCTCTTTAATTAGTATAAGTGCGCCCTTTTCGTAAAAATAAGTCTCCATCCCTTAAAAACAAACATTCCTTAAATCCTTTTACACATATAACATTTAAAAAAATTAATAACTCGCAGTTTAAATAATTACGCACTGGAAAAATTATATTTGTGTATAGGTTTAATTCGGATTATAAATTTTTATTTTGTTAGGATTATTCTGAATCTGAACTGTTTACATTTTTATCAGTTTGTCTTTTTTTCGGGAGGATATTAATGAATTTTTTAAGTGATTTTAAAATTATTTTTTAAATAAATACCTTTTTTAAAAAAAGCACCTTTAATTATTCATTTTTTCATAACTTTCAGTTTAAATTATGGAAAAAAGCTTTCAAATTTTTTATTAAAAAATTATTTTTTTAAAGTTACTTATTTTGAAAAAAATCTTATCTCAGAGATTGTCTTTTAGCATGCTTTGGTAATTTAAAAACTGTTGAGGATCGAACTCAGTTATTACATAATATTACACACTTTGATTAATTTTTACAGTGTCAAATGTGCGCGTGCTCTTTTCTGTGAGGAAGCACCTTGCCCTTTTTTATTCCTAGGAAGAACTCTGTATATATTATTTGAAAACACTTTCTTTGAACTTTTTTTTGTTAAATAATCCTTATATCCACTTTATTATTAATCTATCTTATTATTTTCATCTTTGTATACATTGTTTTGGAAATCTATTCTATTGCTAATGAAAAAAAAAACCTGTTTGAGCTTTAATGACATGCAGCACACTAATTTTTATTTTGCAAAAATAATAGTGTATTATTCATTGAATATAGAATATAATTAGAAAAAAAAGACATTGGACCTGTATTCATCATGAATTGGCATGGTAGCAAATGACACAATCAAAAAGAAAACTCTTTGTACTAACACTTGTGGAAATTCATATGAATGTAATGTGGGTAGTACCTGTTATGTTATTACAAAAATAAAAAATGACTGTAATTAAGAATTAGTTTATTTTGAACTCACAACATATTCTAATAAAAGAGAAATGTCTCAATATATATATATATATTTGCAATTTGGAAATTCCATTATTGATTGTTAAAACATTCGAAAATAAAATTTGAGTTGTGAAAAGAGTTTTGTTATTATTTTAATTTATATGAAATGAAAAAAAAATATTATTCTATGGGTAATAAACTAAGTCGAACCTTGGTCCATCCTACTAGCATCTTTTGTTTTCCCATATATGTATCGTATTGTTATAATGGTCTTGCCACAAATACTATTCTTAAAATATTAATAATATCCATTTAGATGATTTTGAAACTAACAAATTCTCTCATCTATCATTCAGAAATTATACTGACAAATATATTATATAGTTTTGAAGCAAAAACAAACTCCTTATGCTAATGAGGATTTTTTATGGTTTTGAAAATGTCTCCTACAGCTTGTTTCAAGTTTATGCATCAGTTGATGAAAATGTCTAAATGTATGGCTCTGTCGATTTAAGAAATGATTACAGAAGCTGAAGGAGTGTAAAGTGATACTGATGATAACAGTTAATTTTTAATAAATTAACTTATTAATTTTTGAGTTCATTACTTCTCATACATTTTTAAGTCATTTGATATTTTATGTTGACCCACATGCATCATTTTCCCATATTTATTGTTTGTAATGGAGTAATCGTTCCCTTCAGAAATTATCTATTCAGGTTCTACTCCATAGATAAAACTATCAAATTATTGATATTTTTACTGGCATCCTTTTATTTAATGCAAGGCTATGATAGTTAATTATGTAAGGAAGACAGGAACTTTTTAATTTTTACTCCTGCTGCAGTGAGCACTATGATTACAGTTTCAGTATTTAAAAAGGTGCAAGAAAAAATCAAATCTTAGTTTTTTATCAAGAGTTTTTTTCCACCGAAATGGAGCAATGCAATATGAAATAAGTGCAGTAATTCCGAATCTGAAACTTTTACGCCAACTTTCATTGGAATTCAACCCATGTGAAACTGCCTTATCTTTAATAAAACATGTCTTGTAGCTTACCAGTTAATAAGTGTTTTGTTTTTTTTTTTCACTTTTTCATATGCAACTGTCTATTACCAAAATTGAAAGAATTAAAGAAAATTGAATTGAAAACTATTTCCAAAATTGAGTGACCATTTTGACTTTGACACCAATGAGGAATCTTCCAAGTAACTGCAATGTTTAAGTTTTGTAAATGTACTAGTTAATTACTTCTTTTAAACAATTGAGTTAATTTATCATAATATTGCAGTGCATGTTTCAAAAGTAATGTAATATAATTTCTTGAAAAGTTCTGAAATTAAAAGAAAAAATTTATACCTCTTTTTTAGTAGATATGCAGCTGAACAACTTTACTTGTTCTTTCTCTCATTTCTTAGTTTTATATTAGTGTTTACTTCACTTCCAAAATATTGAATGTGTAAAGGTTATGTGGATAAAAGACAATTTTTTCTGCATTTTTATAACAAAATCAATAAGCTCTAGTGCTTTGCTAATATACTTCTGAAATGAGTTTACATTTTTCTAGCAATTTAGTTTGTAATTTTCAGTTTTATTTTTAGCCATAATTAATTTTTAGCTTTCTGAGTGTTTCCTTCCTTTACTGTAAAGATTGAAAAAAATATCTCTCCCAGAGGAACCTGAATAATAGGATGACTATTCAAGCTATTTAAAATTGCACAGATTGAATTATGAAAATAGAGTTAATTCAATTACTTTTAATAATGAATTAAAATTGATGAATTTAAACCCAGTAAAGCATGTGCACAAAAAGTATTTAATAAATGAATATGAATAAAGTGAGAACCAGAGCTACTGCTAGCTTTTTTTCTCCCTGGGAAAGATAATAAAATAGGGTGCCCTAAATGACCCTCTTTCCTTGCTTTTTTGTAAAAAGAATTTAATTATTTCTCCATGTTTTTTGTTCTTGACAAATTTTAATGATAGAGTAAATCTGAACTGTTTAACCATTGAAGAACTGAAAAGAAAATGAGAAAGAAAGTCTTTACTCAATTAATTACTAAATTCAAAGGGTACTTAATAACTTTTAAAACAGTTCTAGATGTCTTCTCATAAGTTATTGCATTAAAACTATGCGACTTGTAATACTATTGTATTGACCCACCCTAATATTGGGAGGGTAAATTAATTCTGTACTTTTACCTGTTTTAAGATCTTTTAAAAATTTGTAAACTAATTTGAATGATGATAAAAAATTCTATTGACGTAAGTAACGCCAATAGGAATTTCAAATCTCTCCCTTAAAAAAACTTTGGGTCGTCTCACGAGTTGCATTTTATTGGAAAAGTTTTGGGGAACACAAAGACGAGAGTACACTCTGTCCCCCCGCAGCTTGAAAAACAAAGGGGTCTGGTCTAATTACAAGAAGCATAGGAAATTGTGAGGAACAGGTAGCGTCAAAAATGCAGAATGAAAACAGGAATGTTATGCATGTGATGAATGATTATCTTCCTTTTTCTATCAAAAAACAAAAATTAGATTTCCATCTCTTGAGTTAAAGTGTAATGAAGAAAATGGTTTTAGGAAAAAAGAGATCTGTGAGGGTATTTGTCTAGAAATAAATTTTTAAAAATAACTATTTTTCAAACAAAAAGAAAATTTTATAAAAATAGAGTGCAGTATAATTTATAGTATATTACACATTTAGATATTTTTAAAAATAGTCTCTTTTCATTTCGGGAGGCCGAGCCCCTTTCTTGATTATGGCATTAAGAAGTTTGACAGCAGGGCATAGTGAAAAGTACACAATACTGAAAAATAAAAAGCATTGAGCTTTATATTATAAACTGCAGATAACGTTAATCTTTGTCACTTTTTACTGCCATAATGTTAGTTTTTTCCTTGTTAAAAACTATAGTGAGATTTTCAATAATGTATGAAGAAAAAATTCTAAATTTTTTTAGACGTGTTGACATCTGGAATTTTTTAAGACAATCGAAACTTATTTTATACACCCCGATCTGTACCCCTTTCACCCATGTTTTTTGCAGGCTGTAGAATATGGATAATTCGGTTACCCACCACTTTATCTTTTAAAAAAAATGTCCTTTGACTTTAGATCTAAATACAAATATTTAGATTATTAACATATTATGAAACATTTGTGCGACCACATTTTACTTTAAGAAAACCAAAAACCATTCTTTTATAAGATGCCAGGTGCAAATGGGTTCATAAAATTATTTAATTTTATTACATAAAATACTAAATTATTACATTTATTTAACAGTAATATTTACTTTCACTCATTGTTTCACCTCAATCCCTTGAATGGCATATAAATGATTCATTAATGTTTGGCTTAGCCTTAAATGTGCATTTTAAAATTACAATTATACAATGCCCTTTCATTTACACATACAATCCCGTGCACTTGAAAGGCATATAAATGATTTATTAAGTTTTGGTTATAATTCATGATATGATATCAAACATATTTTATCATAAGAAAAAATTCTTATAAAGATATAGATTTAATTTTAACTATTGTTTGGGTTAGTTAAATACCTAGTTAGATTATACAGCAAATTAAAAGTAAAAGATCAATAACTTATCATTCAACCTTTATTTCATTAAACATACACAACAAGGCAATCTTTTCAATATTATGTATAACAATTTAATTAAAAAATAATATAAACCCAAATTATCTGCTATTAATGAAATGTATATATAGCAAGTGGTTAGAACTTTAGAGTTCAATAATATTTATTACAATCTTTGAAGCAAATATATCATTATACAGAAACATAACCCAAGTGAGAGAATCTGTACTGCACTTAATAAAAAAAAATTTTGATATCACAACTTACAAACCTGGCTTTATTTCTTTACTTTGCACTGCAAAATAATTGTTTTAAAAAATAACTTAGATCACTATAGTTAGAGATATGTCTGGAAAATGATACATAAGAAGGGCATGGGGAACAAAAATCAAAAAACCTTTATTGCACAAAAACACAATAATTTTCTATATTTTCGCCAACTAAAGCATCATGTTAATTCCTGCACTAATAAAATTAAAATACAAACATGCAATGAATTTCCATTTCATACAAGACTGTCTACAGATTTTTAAATACTGACAGAAAATGTGAGCTAGAATTATACTTTTGATAGTTTAAACCATTAATCACTGTATTAAACAGTTGTAAACCTTAAACTAATGAGTCATTAGCTATTTAATATAACCCAAATAATCAAAGCTTAACTTTTTTTTTTATTAAATTATCTGGAAAAAGAAAAAGAAAAAAGATGAATGATCTCCGAATTGAGGTTGTTTCCAATAAGCTGTGTATATAGCTCAGCACAAACTTCAGTGCTTTTTTTTAAATAATAATAATAAAAGTGCAACTTTTTTAAGAAGCTTTAAAACTTAAAAAACTCAGGCTAATTGTTTTGCTACAATAAAATATTTGCTAACAATATATTGTATTTTCAGATAATTTCAAATCTGATCTTAGCAAATTCTGTGCATGATAGTAAAAATTAAAACTTTAAGCTATTAAATTTGGTTAGTTTTTCTTTTGTCACATATATAAAGAGGGATGAAAATCTGTCTTAAAATATATTTTATTTGATTTTTTCCCTTTAAAAAGCTTGTTAAAACTAGTTTTCATTGGGAAAATATATTTTTTACTGAAGTGATCAATTAAAACTGAAAAATTCTACTTTCAGTGTATATAGATCAGTAAAAACAAGCTTTTGCAACGGAAGTCTAGGCTAAGAAGGAAAAAAAAATCTCTGCAATTCTGCCTACTCTGACTTTTGTGCACGAAGTAACTTCTTTCAACAAAGGCTGGATCTTTGACATATTTCAATAAAAATAGATTTTAATCAAATAATATATAACTTAAAGAAAATATTTGAAAAATTTCAGATTCAAAACAAAGAAAATGCTTCTCCAAATTTCAACAATTTAAAAATAAAAAAAAACACAATATCATATTGCCTAATAACTGTATAAAATGCATTCAATTATATTAAATTGAATATGAAATACATTCATAAATGCTACTTTTTCTGACTTAAAAAAGGACATATAAATACTTTTTTTAAAATAATAAATACCTACATATAAATAATACATCTGCCTTAAATAACTATATATGGATAAATATTTATCATAAGTAAAATGTTCTAGATAAAATAATAAATAACAGACACTGAAGATTGACAGTTTCTAACAAAGCATTATTAAAATAATTCACCAATTTCCAAATAAAGGAAATTTCAGATGGAATTAACAATTTAATTATTGATAACTAGTAGGACCTTGATATATTGAACTAAGTTCTGTTAATTGATATTTCACAGATAATAGATGTTCATAGATGCCCAGAAAAAAGAAATTGTTTATAGAGGCACAAAACAGCTTTCTTATTAACTAGCATAACAAGTTAATCAGCTGTGAAGTTCTTACAATGATTAAAATGTTATTAAGTGTGATGTTATATTTAAGATGTGAATGGCAGTGTTATTGCATAATATTATAAAAAAAATTCTTACATTACTATTTGAAGTGCAATATATTCAGATGTGTTTTAGATAATCAGTTTCTATCACACATAACAAATTTATTTTAACATTGCAAAAACTATTCTTGTTATAATTAAAAAAAGAAATTCATTTGCATTAATGAGAACTTAAAATTACTTATAAAAATTTATATAATAACAATATTTGAAAAAATAACACAAATAACTTTAACTCAGCTGTGAAATAATATTCTTAATAAATAATTAACCAAGTCACTTTTGACTTATATAAATATTTTAACAGTTAGCACAAACTAACAGAAAAGTTGTAAAAGTGATAAATTTTAAATTCAGTTTTACTCACGTGCTTAACTGTGCAAGAATTATGGGTAGATAATTTACTACAAAACATATTAAAACGTGCACAATATCTCAAAATGAACTATTTATTTTTATTTAAAAAACAATCCTAAGGAACTGAAGTGCTAAGATATTACTTGATTACATTTCAATAAAAAAGTTTTTAATCAATAAATATTTATTTCTATGTTTATGTTATTATAAAGCGCAATAAAAAATGCAAGTTAAAAAACTTTGTGAATATCAATATTCAATTACTTTAATTTCATAAACAAAAAAAGATTATCTTAGGTAATTTATAATTCTTTTAATAAAAGAAATTTATTACAATACACATTCAATTTAAACATTTATCTGAAGAATTGTTATCATTATTATTTAGTTTATTATGTTTAAGTAAAATTATAAACAATAATGACGATAAGTAATAATTTGGCAGATATTTTACAGGCTCCCCCTCCCCCTTTAAAAAAATGGATAAATGTTTAGTAACACAATTCAGTGAACATTATTTGCATCAATTAGTAATATAATTTCATAAATGTCTTAGCATATTTTCATTCATATTGAAAGCAATTTACTATATTAAGCTTTCAAATTGAGGAAATATTTATCTGAAGAACAAGAATCATTATCATGCTCAGAAAAACTATTAGATGCCTCAGACACGACTTCCACTTTAACAATTGTCGGTACATATTTACTATTTTTACGTGCTTTAGCAGATAATTTACTTTTACGAGATGATTCACTTTTGCGCTTCTTAGAAAAAGAATTCAATTCATTTTTATTATTTTTAATAGTTGGCTTCTTTTCATCTGTTAAATTATTAGAATTTCCAAATGAAGACAAATAGTTAATATTTTTTTCAACATCTTTTTCAGTTGAATGTTGAGGAGAAATCTTGACGTTTGAATCATCGACAACGTCGGGAATTATTAAACTGTCAGAAAATAAATAATGTGTAATTTTTAAATGCTGGACAAGATCATCTTTACTTTCAAATTGGTTATCACATTCATAGCATTTAAGAATGCTACAATTCTTTAAATTGCTATGTTTTTTTAAAGATTCTGTGCATGAAAAAGTAATAGAACAAAGTGGACATTTCACACGTTTATTAGAATCACTAAAATGGGCAGCATAATGCCGTTTCATGCTTTTCTCTTGAAAAAATCCCTTTAGACAAATATTACACCTAAAAGGTGGACCCAATCCTTTATGAGAACCAGCATAATGAACTCTAAGATATCGATAACTTTTAAATGCCTCGTTGCAAATTTTACAAATAACATTTTTCTCATCTGAATGAATCAACATATGAGTATTTATATCAGTTCTTTTACGGAATCTCCTAAGGCAAATGGGACATGAAAAAGGCCTTTCAGTATTGTGCAGTTCCCTGTGCTTCTGTAATTTGTTATTTGTAGTAAAGGTGCAATTGCAAACCTCACATGTATTGTTATGTGTTAACATATGCCTTTGCATACTACTTTTGGTGGTAAACTTTTTCATACAAAGTTCACAAGAGTGTGACTTTTCTTTTGTATGAGTTACTTGATGTTCCCTTAAATGAGATATTTGTGTAAAAGATCGTTGACAGATTTCACAACTATATGGCTTCTCTCCCGTATGAATTTGAAAGTGCTTCCTTCTAGAACTTGTATCAGCAAATTTCTTACCACAAATATCACATGGGTAGGGTCTTTCACCCGTGTGCGTAAATGTGTGTTGTCGTAGATCTCGTTTCAAACGAAATCCTCTTCCACAAATGCTGCAGATATGAGGTTTTTCACCAGTATGTACCATAACATGATAAACAAAACGATTATAAGCAATCTTTTTACCACAGTAATTGCAATCAACATGGACAGATTGTTGATGTTTGATTAAATGAATTTTATATTTTAACTCATTCGCAAAAGTACAAGAACAAATATGACATTTGAATTTGTCATTTAAACTGCTGGATCCCTCCTTAGTAGGTAAAATTTTACTTTCGGAGTCATAATTATTTAAATCAGGATAGATAGTTTCAATTTCATTTTGTAAAACAGATTGTTCTTTTTCACTGTCAAAAGTATGTATGACAGGGTGTTTTTCGTTTTTGGCACATTTTGCTATTGAAACAAGAGTATCTAAATCTGGATATATGGTTACTGTTTCAAATGAATCAGTATTTGTTGCTTCAAGAATACTACTCGCAATCTGTATATTATTAAAGTCTGTATTAAGAATAGCTTCCATAATTCCTAATGAATATAAAAAAACTAATGACTAAAAACTTCTTAAATTCATTATTTTTACCCAGTGCTTATTTAAGTGTCAAGAGAACAAGACAAATAGGTTGAAACAAAAAGAGAAACTATATGTTTTCAACAGACAAAAAATGGATGTTCACTACAAACGGGGATGAGTATTTACGTTCTGAAAACGCTTAAAACGACTGTCTTTTTTAACGTTATACGAACTAAAAAGCTTTGAGCGTTGGAGTATGCTCCACTTTAGGAGTGTAATGAAATGGGAACTGTCTTGGTAGCCGACATTCTATGACGTTAACCCTACACATGGCGAACAAAAACAAGGGGCGCGCTCAAATGATCAGAAAGTCGGGTCCACAATCGTGGTTGCCGGGAGAAAAGTGTTGCACCAAGCAGACTCCTCAATTCTGCTTTTAACATGTAAAGTCTATGGCGGGCTTGTCATACTTTGAATCGATTTTTCTTGTTCAAGAATCGGAGTGATCAATTAAAAAAAAATACTAATAATTTTTTCAATCTTTCCTATCCACGAAAATGTAGGTTAATTTTTTTAATCTTTATTACTTTTTGTAATATTGCCTTTGAAACACAAGTCACTTTCTACCTTTGAGTAAGGGAGGAAGGCAACTTCCACCCCCAAGTTCACTAATCTTCTCGGTGGGAGGTCTTGCTCCCTTTTGAAAATCTTTTTCTCTCTCTGTCCTTCTGAAGAACTGATATGGGGAACGCTTTAAAAACCGATAGCTTTCTTTTTAGTTATAAGCTTGTAATTTATTATGAAAATTATATTTGCTGATAATTCGTTCATTCTATATACATTTTATTTATTTAGTAGTAATAATTTTCTTGTTTTTATTCATTTTGAGAATGGAATTTATTTTTTAAATACATTATTCCCCTTTTTTTAAACTTTGTTTCTTGTTTTTTAAAGATGTTTCAGAATTAAAAAAATTAGCTGCTGAATAAAGTGAGATTAATTAAAATCGAATAAATGACGTAAAGATCTTCCAATATACTATAAAGCATCACAAAACTGCAGTTTTCCTTTTTTTT